GTGTCTGTTGCGACTCGGCCTCTAGTTTCTATCCCTCACTTTTGATCTAAATGGACATATATTTGTATAATAGTTATGATGATACATTTGCATCCAATCCGTGTCTTGCTGTCATCCTCCATAAGTCTAGTAAACGTTCGGTTTTCAGTTTTATTTCTCTTCCTCAGGCACATGTCCCAATATTTGGCACTTGTTCTAGCTCGTTGTCAGGAATGTCCGTCTGACATATGTAATAATTCTGCATGTGCCATATATATTTCTTCAAGATTCAGGGTATTAGACATGTCTGTTCCTCTACTACCAAAAGATCAACATGTCTTTTGTAAGTAGGGGGGAAAAAGGGGGGGGGGTCTGTCAATATTATGCATAGACTGCAGGTGAGCAATTCAAACCCTGAGTAAATATACTATTCAAAATATAGTAAAAAGGGTATAAGCTATTTAACTACTCAATCAAAATGCAGGTCAGCACAAATACATTGATTACAGCAATAGTTATCTTTGTGTATATCTGGCAATTTATGGGAGGTTGTGGTCTCAATTGATCCGAGTTTACCTTACAATATCATTTTGGGCGTTTGTTTTATTTTTGTTGTACTGAATACCTGTTACTACAAAGAGAACAAGAACCATAGTAGTAGTTAAAACATGCAGTTTTCACAAATGTAAATCTGAGTTATGTTGCTTTGTCCCATGAATATCACTTTAAACAACTTAAACTGATCATGACATAAAATGGAAATTCACACAAATTTTGAATTTCGTCGCTTCGATCCGCCTCAACATATCTTTACATAACTTTAAGAACAATTAGAATAAGATACAACATTGTTTTTGAACCGTGCTCCTTGTACGAGCTGCATAGGAAAACTGTTGAAATGTAAACTAAACAAACGCACATCGGTTAAAAAGTAAGACATAATTTTCTGTTTGAATGTCTATGTATTGTAAAGAATTCATGGATGCAAACACAGTAGTGCACTTAATATTATGAGTTATTTCTCTTTGAATAATGTGACTTCCATTCATAGTAAAGATTAATAAAGGTTTAACAACCAAGTGGATACAATTACTGGCGGGTTCAGTATCTTAAAGAACAAATATTCACATTTGTATCGGACATTTACGGCGGATTATAGTTGTTAGTGAGAAGGGATGGGGAGGAAATCTAATAAGCACAAAAAAAAAACACAAAGAACGAACCCTTCTAAATGGCTACAAGATGGACCATTCTGTTTACATATCATATCCCAACAAATGGGGCAATATTTTTTTTTCAAAAAGAGAAACGGGAAACAAGCTGTATCCCCCCAAAAAATCACAGATAGACATCCGAGTCCTATTTTATGTACTTAAATTGTTAAACATTAAATTTTTTTCGAAACTAAAAGCTCTAAAGAGGTCGTGTCGCTCACCTGCATCTTCAACAAGTCAGTAAAAGGAGTAGGTCCGGTAAGAGCCGATTTTGGCCTCAAATTTCAGGTTCATCTGATGAAAGATTTTGGTCACTTTTTAAACACTTAAGTGTCTACTTCAGTCGATTCAATTAGTTTATGTGACAGATTTGAACTGATTTTATCATTAAAGACGCTCAGATTCAAGCTTAGATATGAAAAATCTATCAAATATGCCATAATATGTCACTTTTCAGACGGTTTTTGTCAAAAATGAAAGTGGCCGCATCCGTGTTCACTCTTAACCTTTATATATGTTATGTATTATCATCAAATACAACATGCATTTAAATATTAAGAATGAACACAAATGCGGCCACTTCCATTTAAGACAGAAACCGTCTAAAATTTAACTCAAATGCTAAAATTGTGAAGATTTCCGTAATTTAGCATGACTTAATGATGCTAGTACCCGATATATATGCATTGTATTGTTAAAAACTGCCCATATTTATGTAGCAGAAGTATTGTACTTTCCAATAAATAGCTTAAAGTTTACATTTTAGCAATTTTGTAAAACTACTATATTTTGGGGCCAAAAAGGGGTCTTATTGGACCTACTCCTTTTGCCTACCGCGACTTTTGTCGTAGGCGAGACAACTATATACAACTAATAATGATTGTTGCCAAGTTTTGTTAAATTTGACCCATTAGTTTCAGAGGAGAAGACTTGTGTAAGTTATTAATTAAGACTTAAAAAATGGTAAAATTCATCTAAAAACTAGGGGATGATTAACGACCTTGACTACCGATGAGGGTCTCGCACGGTCGGTTTTCATCTTAAAAGGGCAACAACTCCAATAAGGAGTCGTCTGACTAGTTTGGCCATGTCACTTATTTGTAGATCTTGTCTTTTTGATCTTTTTCCTAATTCAAATTTCTTTCTATCTATTATAGTTTTCAAAATAATAGGCAAAAATATAAAAATAAATTTGGTAAAATTTGACATTAAAGGGCAATAACTCTTATAGGAATTCGTCTGACAGTTAAGATGTGAATGAACAGCAGGAAGATCTCAGAAGAGAAGACTTGTGAAAGTTATTAATTAAGACTAAACAAATGGTAAAATTCATCTAAAAACTAGGGGATGATTAACGACCTTGACTACCCATGAGGGTCTCGCACGGTCGGTTTTCATCTTAAAAGGGCAACAATTCCAATAAGGAGTCGTCTGACTAGTTTGGCCATGTCACTTATTTGTAGATCTTGTCTTTTTGATCTTTTTCCTAATTCAAATTTCTTTCTATCTATTATAGTTTTCAAAATAATAGGCAAAAATATAAAAATAAATTTGGTAAAATTTGACATTTAAGGGCAATAACTCTTATAGGAATTCGTCTGACAGTTAAGATGTGAATGAACAGCAGGAAGATCTCAGAAGAGAAGACTTAACAGGAGGGATTGTGCCTGATATTCATATGATGAAGACATAATCTTTCAATCAGTTTAATTGAGATCTGGAGCTGGCATGTCAGTAACTGCTAGTAGTCTGTTGTTATTTATGTATTATTGTCATTTTGTTTATTTTCTTTTGTTTCCTATTCTGACATCGGACTCGGACTTCTCTTAAACTGAGTTTTACTGTGCGTACAATTGTACGTTTGTTTTTTCTACATTGGCTAGAGGTATAGGGGGAGGATTGAGATCTCAAAAAACATGTTTAACCCCGCCGCATTTTTGCGCCTGTCCCAAGTCCGGAGCCTCTGGCCTTTGTTAGTCTTGTATCATTTTTAATTTTAGTTTCTTGTGTATAATTTGGAGTTTAGTATTACGTCCATTATCACTGAACTAGTATACATATTTGTTTAGGGGCCAGCTGAAGGACGCCTCCGGGTGTGGGAGTTTCTCGCTGCATTGAAGACCCATTGGTGGCCTTCGGCTGTTGTCTGCTCTATGGTCGGGTTGTTGTCTTTTTGACACATTCCCCATTTCCATTCTCAATTTTATTGTGTAAGTTATTAATTAAGACTAAAAAAATGGTAAAATTCATCTAAAAACTAGGGGATGATTAACGACCTTGACTACCCATGAGGGTCTCGCACGGTCGGTTTTCATCTTAAAAGGGCAACAACTTCAATAAGGAGTCGTCTGACTAATTTGGCCATGTCACTTATTTGTAGATCTTGTCTTTTTGATCTTTTTCCTTATTCAAATTTCTTTCTATCTTTTATAGTTTTCAAAATAATAGGCAAAAATAAAAAAATAAATTTGGCGTTTTCAAGACAATAAACAAAACTTGCATTTTACCCCTATGTTCTATTTTAGACATATCAGCCATATTGTTTGGTAGGCGGGGTCATTGGACACATTTATTTGATTAAATACCCTTGATGATTGTGGCTAAGTTTGGTAAAATTTGGACCAGTTGTTTCAGATGAGAAGACTTTTTTGACGACGACGGACGACAGACACCAACGTATGAGAAAAACTCCTACGGGCCAAGTAAGCTTAAAGTAAGGAAAGCGAGCTCGTCCAGCATTTCTGTACTGTTCCATAGCAAGTACAAATACATTTCCGGTATTGAATATATTTTGAACCAGTACTGATATTAAATGCATTATCCAATGAGTTATTTTGTCAAATGGTTCTTCACATGATCTTTACTTGTTTTAATGTAGTGAAGCAATACGTGGACTTCAACCTTTCAAGATGCACAAATCATCAAATTGTAGCTCACATATCATGAGTCGCATATGAGTTTCCAAAATAACGTCAGTTTATAACGCCTTTGGCGGCGGACTACGATATACCGGCTATGGGTTAATCTGTTCTATCTAGCTCCTTTGGCAACTGAAGTTCAAATGATTCAATAAGGAGAAAGCTTGTCCTTAAGCTTTTTTTTATATTTTAAAAATATAACATATTTTTGGTTGTCCCACCTTTTGACTCGTGAGTGACGGACATAATGTACGGTTTTAAAATTCAAACCTTCTTTTAAACAAACGATTGTTTTATGGTCCGATTTATCATTTTATTGTGATTAAGCACGTTGTAAAGGTCTCTTAAACTAAACAAAAATTCCTCAAACTACTACAGGGGACTAACAGTGGTATATCTTCGGTGTTATTTTATGTTTACCTTTCAACCAGTGTATGTAAACCGAGATGTAAACGTCAAAATTGATAAGTGTTGGATGTTTGCCTCGGCTAGACATTTAATGCCATTTTAATTTTAATCAATCCTTATTGAACATGGTTTATTATTGAGCAAAAAATCTTTTAACACAAAGCTAACTGCAATCAATATTACAACCAAGGATTAAATCGGATTATCAATTTGTTTTTCGTGTGGTTATTATTTTTTCTATGCAGTTCACTGTGCAGAAACAAACTTGACCGGTGCTTAATTGTAGATAAAGTGTTGCTTACGTAATCGATGCACAATTGATTCTATATTACTATTTGCATTTATATTGTAAACAACTTATCAATAAAAAAGATTTGGATATATTATTTTCACAGTTGTTAAGGGACAGGTTTATTGAAAGATTGCCGAATCTGACATTGTGTGACAACAAAATAAGAAGAATACAACGTCGGGGAATTCACAGCATATTAATGGACATTTAAAGATCTTTCATCAGGGTTTCGGATCCGTGACTTCGATCAACTAGACCAGCAGTTGAAAAGATTCACAGGTTTATAGATAGTTCATGGTTTTGTGGTCATATTGATAAGTTTTAAATCTAACATGTATGTGTCTTACATGGTATAACGTAACAACGTCAATTATACTAACAAAAACATTATTCTATTGTGATTTATACCTCATAATGGTATTAATAAGGAGACAAAAGATGTCTGTTAAAGTCGTCTAAGTTTGAAAAGAGGATTAATTTAATTTATTGTATTTTTCGTCTTAAATACTCCAAATGTCGACACAAAAACTGGGATCTGTTACGTTACCGCCAATCAATTCAGTCCGAAATAATGGCGGTACCAGCCCCGGACCTATGAATGGCATATTCACAAATAGATCTAATGCACAACAATTACTCTACCGTAGTGTACCAGCTAAGAACTCTGGCGAATCTTTCTCTGATATGCTAAGTAGTTCATCAATGGGAAAATACGGCAGACAACATTTAATTTCTTCAAATTCTCCAATGGAATATGCAGAACGCTTTAAAGCTAGGCCAATGACCAAACCCACACTAGTCGAATTTGCTACAAAGGAACTTGACAAAGTGAAACGTCATTCGAAATCGATGAGAACTTCGAGGAGACAGATTGAAGGATTCTTTCCACCCATGAAATTAAGAAAGAATGGAAAACCGCTCACACCTGATATGATGGATGTAAGTACTAATATTCAGGAAGTATTTTTTTTAAGTCCGAAGTAACAACGGCAAATCAAGCCAATTAAGGGGTAATGAAAACTCTTAGAATTTTTGCTTGTTTTATGTTTAATTTATCACATCGGAAGAATCGCCATGCAGAAAAAAATATTTCTTGAAAAAAAATGACGGGGAAGATTTATTGTTTAGATGGTTAATTTTTTATTGCATGATTGTTTGATGTGTAACGAACATGTCTGATTAGGACGAAAAAAATTAAGAAATACGGGACTTCAATGTGTATTTAAGAACATTGACGGCACCAATTTTACTGCATAAGATGGCTTTTTTTCCCCAGTGAGGTTGACAGTAGTAATTCCCGGTTAAATTCTGAGTTGATATTTCTGTGACTGAACAACACTCATGTTTTAATTGCTATTAATTAATTGATTGAGTGATTGATGTTTGCTTAACGTCCAGTGGCAAATATGATATATGAACAGCTATTTAAGAATAAACTGCTGTAGAAAATTAGAAAAACAACCTGGATTAAGCACATTATTCTAACATTTTCTCAAGTGCAGATTAATCTTTCGGCGAAACTTTGTTAATTGTACACAAAAGACAGTCATCAAAAATAATAGATTTTAACCGAAGGTTTTATTCAGATGCTTATCTATTTACAATATCCTTGCCGTTATTTCTTTCAAAGAAGTTCCGTGCAATAATTCGCTTAACTAGTGTAAATTCTTAGGCAAATAAGATAGACAAAATTCCAATCAATAAGCTGTAATTCTGTTGGTATTTCATGATCAATATTTATCTTTTATTTATCTTTTAAGTTAAGTTGTCACACGGGGGTTGTTAATCTTTAGTAAATGTATATTTAAAAGTTTAACATATATAGGTAAATACACCAAATAAAGTTAAAATGACGATTCGGTTCACACCACGAGTTTTATATATAATTCATTCTGGAACCTTAGATCTTGATAACTGTGTTATTAAAATTCTTTTCGGTCACTATATATAAAAGATAATGATCGAATACATTACTATACAGAACATGTCCTTTTAAAAACGGTATATACTGAAAGGAAGCACGATTTAATCTAGGCAAACACTCACAAATACCCCTTCCCCCATGTGGCTTCACCATGGTCAAAACGGACCTGCGACCTTGGTGGTTTCTCGGACGACTTTGCGACCTGCCATATCATTTAAAATGAATTTCAAAATGTTAAAAACCGAGAATCAGTTCCGTTTAGAACCGCTATTTAGTTTGCTTAAAGGTGACCTGGTGACCTGAGTCAATTTTAAACTGACTATGTGACCTAAGGGGAAACCCACTGCCCCTTCCCCCAAGCTAAATCTGACCAAATTTCACTTCAATAAATATCAAACTCACATTCAAATAATGTATAGTTGTTATTTTCCTTGTTATTTCAAAGTAAATTGTACAGGATACATTGACAATTTGTAAATAGTAAAATCATGCTAGATAATTCACTTTTGAATCATACTAATAACAACTTTTCGATTCCTTGTGGAATAATTTTTTATCATAATATCTGGACACATATTGACTGCTTGGTATTGAAACTACACGTTGAAATCTTGTATTTACTCTGACAGCTGATGACTATAGAAGATATATTTGTGAATATGTGCTAGGCTCAAAACAACAAAGACATATTTTCCGCCTTTATCTCTTTCAACATTCTTAATACGGAGACATTTAAGAAGGTTTTAAAAGTGTTGTGAAAAGTCTATTCTTCCAGTGGCTTGAATCAGAAGTTGTTATATAACAACAAGATTTATTGAAAGGCTCTTAATTTAGTCATTTTTGTTTTCAAATAGTCTGCGTTTTACAGAGGTTTTAATGAATGACTTTAACTGAACTTGGTGGACAGATTTTCAAACAGACAATTTGCATGCATTGCGATGAGCACTAATTGTTCACCTTTTTTTTTTATTTCTTTACTCGTATTTTACTAAATTGATCCAAGGGCTATTAAAAAAAAATGAAAGAAAAAGATACTGTATGGCTTTAAATTTAGCTTTCGCTATGTACTATCTTTATGAATAATAATACTACTTAAGATTATTTACAACTTTCATATCCAGTCTGTGGTCAATAGACACTAAAGGGCGTTCTTTACAATCTTTATAACAATCGTAATGATTTTGGTTTCCAAATAGTGAAATTTCCTTTTCTGAGTAGCAATAAACCTGCATTACATGCGCCTGGTCAACCTATATCACAGTTGGTTTGTCACTCAAAGAGTACGTGCCCCTTTTAAAGAGACTTCCTTTAGACAGTAAAAACCATCCAAGGTCTATCCAGGTCAGTCAGGAATTTTTATATCGCCGCAATAGATTGACTCTTGTTTGTTTAACGTCCAATGTCAAACATTTTATGCATAATTACTAAGGACGAAGACAAATTTACATTGGTGGACCGTGATACTAGTCCATTTCGCAAGACCTAACTATTGGCATTATTGTAAATGTATTTTAATACCGACTTTGTCACTAGCCTAAGTAAACAACTATCAATCAAGTGTGATGTGTACGCTCTTGTTAAAACAAGGAACAGGAAATATTCATTGTCTTCCACATACATATATACAATATATATCTAGATCATATATATATTTATGCGCAGTGGATAACTATTGACAATTTGAAAATACAGATTGTGCGCAAGGAAATTATTCGTTTATCATTAAATTGAATATTCATAAATATCAGAACATGTTGATTTTGAATCGACTAAAAATGACATTGTTTCCATCGCTGGTGTTCCTTCATTCCCTTATATTTCGTTTTTGTTATTGATTCCGTACCCCTATATATTTAGATAGTCATTTAGTTTTAAAATACGTGTAACTTATATAAATAATTTGATTGTTAGATTATCTGATATGAAAAATGTATTTAAAGACAGTTAAGTAAATCACTAAATTGAATTTTATTACACAAAGAAAAAAGTTAATTTATGGTCAGTCTGATTAACGCTGCATATCATAAACATTTTGGATTTTATTGGGCTTGAGAATCTGTGCAATTTTAAAGTACGTTTATTTTTCATAATTTAAACAGTCCAATGTTAAATGACATTCAACTTTATGTATAGAACAATTTATGTAAAAATTATACAGAGCGTTTGACTTCCACTTCATAATCTATAATCTCAGTTTTCAAGTATTTATATAAAACCATTAGGTTTTAAATTTTGTATAATAAAAGTTCAAATTGTAAGGGGTGTTTATCAATGTTTGTATTGACACAAACATGGAAGATGCTTTCGCTCGATGTTTAAACTTTCTAATTTAATAGCTCTGACATAAATGCGTTTAAGTATTGTCAGCTTACAATAAGTTATGCTGTGCTATTGTATTTGAACAAACGTCATGTCGAGTCTATATTATAGTGGGTCATGGGATAGAAACTTGAAACGTTTGGATTCAATTGCAAACAAAACACTTTGCGTTTAAAACTACGATTGAAAATTTATTTTGTTATAATACATCAAAATACAGTATTAATGGACTCGTTCTCACCAGATTAAACACGTCATGAACGTGTGATTTACAGGTAAACTATATATGGGCCCACATACAAATTTGCAAGTAAACTGAAATGAGTTCCATTTGAATTCTTATTTCTTCTAAACAGAAAAAAAACACATAAAGAACATTGAATTCCATTTTTCGAGTACATTATTTACATATGTAATATATAAATTAAGGACTTTCACTCAGTCAATACGTTATATATGGACCTGTTAGATTATATTGACACTCGGACTTCGTCCTCGGTCAATATAATCTGAACAAGTCCATATATAACGTATTGACCTCGTCAAAAGTCCATAATTGATAAATATAATGATTTTTCAATTATACTTTCAAACACTGCTTAAAACATGCATTCGGAACCGTCCAGAAATAATCAAACAGGACAATCGCATGGACATTATGAAGATTCCTCTAAAATTCGAGCTGTCTCAGATAAACGACTACAGACAGCGTATCTTAAACTTCTATTTATATCATGAATATTGTCGATACATGACAACGTAATCGTATGTCTCATGGTGAAGTTATCAATCGTAATACACGTAATTCAACATCGAACTAATTTTACACTTAATGATCTTCCTATCAATATTAAAGCACACTAGGCATCAATTATTAAATGTAAACTGTGTGAAATATCAATTATACGTAAAATTAAATAATATGATAGAGAGTACAACATCGTTTTTCAGTCCACCTTAAGAGTGAACGCGTATAAAACCAGTAGAAGTTTAAAATTTTAACTCTACGTTAGTGTAGATTTTTTTTTCAACACGAGGCTGTTAAACATCGAAGTATAGATGCGATCCTTTGTTCGATTTATTTATTAGGATAGATTTCTGCAGTATAATTGGATATTTATTGATTGTTTATCGCAAAAATATTATCAAGGTTACAAGTATGTGTCAACATTCAAACAGTTCCATTCAATTACTTTATTTTCATATAAATCATAAAAGATTTGTGACATGTATAATCAAAATAATATGTGATAAAGTAAACCATAAACAAACAAAAAAAAACACAAACCCAATATATATGTTGTAGTAGCACAAATACTTTCAAGTTGTTTGTTTGTTCATTTTATATAAATATTATCTATTGTAGACTCAAATGGCAACAAAAATGGAACTTGCACCGACAGCGTATTCAGACATTAGATCAAAATCTGAAAGAGGATTTATGGCAAATTCTCCATTCATACGGAGAACCCCAGACTCCTTTCGGACAGTGCAAACATTTCCAGAAAACAATATAGTCTACCCGAGTGTTATTTCTGAACAGGATGGCGAATATGACGATCTAAGTATGTTACCACCGCCTAAAAAAATTCTACCCAAACGAGAACTTCCATGGGTGTTCCGATATAAGGTCAAAAGAAACATGAACGAGCTCGCTAAAATAATGGCTAGCAAACCACCGTCGATACCAACAACGGAGTCTCCTTCTTGAAACGGAACTTTTCGAAATATAAACTATACTTAGTGCTAATTATTGCATTAAGATTAAAAGATTATTTCAGATGAGCGGTTTTGTTATAATCGTTAATCGTCGTTGGAATATAATTGTTTACAAAAACTGTGTATACAATTATAATCCAATTATATCAAACCTTCTGTGATCTATACCAATTGTGCTTTAATATTTAATAATACCCGAAAGATCTTGTCTTGTGACGGAATTACACCTTTGTTGTTATAGATTAAGATAGCTCAAAAGCATGTATTTATTCATTGTTCTTTCGAGTATAAAAGAGTTTATCTATTAGTTGTTTATTAAATATTTTTGTATGGAATTATCAACTGTATACGGCAACACAAACATTTAATTATTAATTACACAGACACCATACCAAATGAAAATGACGAAGGATTTTCAAACACACAGGGATAATACTAAAATCTAGCCTAATGCAGGAGTTTCGTTTTTGTAATTATTTATTCATTTCAATCTTCGATTGAGAAAGGGTCATTCTTTTTATAGATGGTTATTCATTAAAAATTCCCTGCTGTTACATAATTAAATATATCATGATTTCAATATAAATATAAGAAGATGTGGTATGATTGCAAATGAGGAAACTGTCCACCAGAGACCTAATGACGTAGAATTAGTACGGCAAATCCCATACCGCAGTGCTAACCCTTCCAGGGCACCGCATCCCTAAGTTGATCTTTTTCAGGATCTTACACGCCTACAAAAAGCTTAAATATAATAGTTGTTATAACGTTGCATTACAGCTGTCTAACTGTTAGTACCTTTTATTTTCATAATTTTGGCAACTTATAAAAAATTACTTGTTCGTTTTGAAGAAACTGTGTATGCATGGTATTGACACTCACGTTGCTCTACAAATGTAAAAAAAAGTCATCCGAAAAAAGGGGAAAAAATAGATATATACCAATGAGACAATGAAAAAATCATGTCAAATGAAAAACAAATAACAACATAGCATAAAAAGAAAAGAAAAAACGATTAAATAAACAAACCAAACAGTAGGGAAAAAACTATTCACTTACAGCAGTCGATATTTGACGTAAAAGGAACCGAGTGTATAATAATAACAGGACTTACGTTGCATGATTGACGGTAAGTCTCGTCTGTCCTTAGTCATGGAAAACCATGTTCAAATTCAGTCAAGTTTTGGGGTTGGATAAATAAATGAACGATTGTTCGTCATTCGGTATTGTCTTTAGAATAGAGAAGCCATCAATCCACCCACTAGTATGTAATTTCTAGCCACTGAATACGATTGGTTGTTTGCTTTACGTCCAGTGATGAATATTTCATGCATGTTCATAACCAGGCATTTGGACTGCAACTTGAAAACAATGGTAAGCTGGAAAGGGGATATAAATTTTTCCTAGCAACAGGCCAATTACTAAATCCTCAGAGTTAGTGCACGTCTGCTTGTAACGTACACAGAGCGCGACACCCCAACACAAAGCATAGGATTCAACGTCCCCATTTTGACAGGACGAGGCTGCATATTTATACACCCCGTGTATGGGTTTTACTGCCGGTAGACAGACTACTGAGTCAGATATTTCTACTCCTAAGTCACCTTTTGGGTACCACTGAATATGACTCATCAACGTATTTGTAAACAGGAGTAACATGTTGAGCAGTAACTGCAGACTTTTCCGTGCACTGGAGTTAACTGGGTTTTTTTTTTTTGTGGTTCGTGGTAATCAGTGCAGAGGTTTTCTGTTTTTGTGGACCGTCTTTTCATCGTGTATCTTTCTTTTTTCCATTGTCAGTTTTAATCGACTTCAGGTTTTGATTACACCCTTGGTATCTTTTCAGTCTCTTTTTTTATAAGCCCATTTCTAAGATATCTTAATTATCTCCATAAATGCTACACGTTACAAAACAGCCGAGTAACTTGCAAAGTTTGTATCCAGGCTCAAATCTCAGCGCCAGGTCAAACTACACCACACAAATGCTATATTCTGCATCTCCGTCACGCACGTCGGGATTAGTATAGGAGCAAAGACTTCTCCACAAAATTGTTTTAGACTAGGGTCACAGGTCTTAGGACTTATCATGGGAACTAGGACTTATCTTGGGAACTAGGACTCAGCATGTCGGTCTAGTACAAAGCAGGATTCATATTCATATTGCATCAACGTGTTCTGGTCTGGATACAGGGGCGTAGCTACCTTCTTAATGAAGTGGAATCACAAACTATAGGGCGAGGGGTCTGGGGGCCCTTGAAGGCCCCCAGTAGGTCCAGGGCAGAGCCCTGGTATGGGGGGCCAGGGGGGCGAAGCCCCCGGAAGCTCCGCATATATAGCGTTTCAAAACAATCACAACCGAAATAAAACTTGGACATTTTTGTTGTGGTTTTTTGGTCAACTATTTGTTTATAACTTCGAGTCGAATGAAGACTGAACATTGTCGCTTGCGTTTTTTTAGTACGTGAAAGCTTTTAAAAGCACGGAGATGTGTTCCATATGCTAGTATTTGTATTGAGCAAAGTAGATTTAAAAAAAAACAAACAATAAACATAAACACAATTACTATATGTGGAATTTCTGTTAGCATAAACATCATTGGATACCAAATACTTGGTGGACACATTCTCATATCATATCCAACTAAGTCAGACATCACGTGACTTTTGTGACGTATACTAGCCGCCATTTTGTATTATATTGCCCCATATAAAATGCATAGGTGCTTCAATAAAGTTTAGTTTTCTCATGAACCTGACCCGTTTTCTAACTTTTGCAAATCAATCCTTGATATTCAAACATATTTCTATCAAACAATGTTGGTCCTAACAGTTTAAATTTTGATTAAATTCTGTCACTGGAGAATCGTAAAAACATGTACTTTTTCTCGTTATTTCTCCGTTGACTCAATGCTAAATGTACCGATACCCTTGTCTACTTGTATAAAAAATAAAGAAATTCCGTTAATAAAAATAAAACTTTGCAAATCGATTAAGTATATTCAAACATATATCTGGCGAAAAATACTATTTAAAACAGTTTAATTTCTGGGCAATTTCGGTCAAAAATCGATTGAAAAAAGTGAATATTTCGGGATTTTTCAAAATGGCGGATGATGTATATGGAAATGTTGCATCAAATCGAGGATTTGTATAGTAAGACTTTCCTTGATTTAATTTAATTTTCATGTAGAATCTCTGATGTTTCTGTTATTTTCTTTGGTGATATTTCGATATGATTGATTTCAAAATTTATTGATTAAAAAAATATTATTTTAAGTGTGACACGGGAACATTTTATTTTGACAGATATCCAGGATATACTGTTACCAGAAAATAGTTAACAATAAAATTTATAATAAAATTTTTTCTCTTCTTTGTTTAAAAGTTTTTTTTCCTGTTTTCTGTTTAATTTATCTTTCTTTAGAAATATATTTATACATTCCTTTTAGAACAAAAAAATATTTACGTCCCAAGAGAGAAAAAAATCCCAACAATTATTATAGATAAATATTCCATACCTTCAAAATCCCACCACTTGACGAACAGGTGAACTCTGACTTTGGATGTAATGTTACATAACAATATATTGTCAGGTAGACGTGCAAACCAAAAGCAACCAGGTGACATTAAACATCCTGTGTATACATGTATTACCAGAGTTTAAATTTTGTGATATACAAAAGTTTTCATAACTGTACAAATAAATATCTTCTCTTCCCCGTGTCAAACCAGAAGAAGTATGTATCATAATAAACTTTAAGAAAATATGAATATTATAAAAAAAAAATCTTTAAAAAAATAATTTTTGCTTTAAAAGATAATCAAACTAATATTTATGTTTCTATAATTATTTTAAAGAAATATTTTGATTCAAATTTTAATTTAAATGGATTTTGTATTATTTCGTAAAAAATTAAACGAGATTTCATTGAATATGATTTTATTATTTATTTTTTTAATTCAATATTTTAAGCAAAATCAAGGCATTCAATAAATCGATATAAAGTTAAACTTGTGTAAAAAAATTTGTTATTGTATACATTTCAACAGAGACATATAATACAATTGCTCTGATTTCAACAAAATTATATACCCGACAATATTTATCGACAGAGTTATCGGTCCTGAATAGGACTGATATAGTTGGGTATGATTTTGCTTAACATATGTATTTAGATGTATAAAAATTTTGAGGGTAAACTCTACAAGAGAGAGATGGGAATTTCGAATTTTACGTAGTTAGGAATATTCGAAGTTGAAATTAATGAACTTTTTCAGAGTAAATGGTACTTTGATCACGATCTTTTTCATGATCTGCGTTTTTAATTAGCCAGCTAATTAACAAATGCATATGCATTCGACCAGTTGTATGGCAATATCTAGATGATAACAGTGAAGATAAGTGTAATAAACGTTTGGTGTATCTTTCGAACAAGAATAGGCAGTTTAGTGTCCTACTCGGACAGACAGTTCTTTTTAAAATTGAATGACCTAATAGTCCAGTAAAACGAGTTAGAATTAACAATTTATTTAAATGGTTTTACAATCAACCATTCGTATAGCCGGCCTATATAGAAACGACTTCGAATTATCGAATCTATATAAAAGATTTTTTTGTAAAATAAATAAAAACGTAAAACATGTACTGGAAAATGTGTACTTTTTTTTCATAAAAACAGCAGTTCCAACTTCTCATCTACTAGTATACGAAAACTATTGATTGATTGAATGGTTATTAATGTCCGGTAGCAAATATTACATGCACACATGACGAGATACGTTGACGTGATGTGAAAATGAACTATTCGTGTTGTCAAGACCTACATACTTAGTCAATATTGAACTAGTTCACAGGGTAACAGTCATTATTCCCGGATCGATACGAGTTGAAGAGTCTTCATTCTAGTAAGATGTGTGCTTTGGGGCGAAGCGGAAAATAATAATTTTCAAGTTTTTTTGTTATCCCTAAAGGGACTATGTTTTTTTTTTGCACTCAAGCGAGTATACGGTATGGTTGTGTTACCAACAACTATGTAGCTGGTATTTTCTAAACAATGCCCGTAATATAAAAAGTTCCTCTAAGTTTACACCAGTTGTATGTATTTATCGTACACATACATGTCTTACAGGATTAAAAATTCCGCTGTATGTGTATTCCTCTTGCTTTTATTCTTTGTTTTTAAAATGCATACATAGAAAGACCAATTCCTATTTGTTAACTTTATCCCTCACTCTCTCTTTTTTTTTGTGAAAACGACGTGGATGCACGTGCTGTCGTGTCTCCGGGCAGCTACGCCCCTGGGATATGAAGATAGTATCTGCCACTGGACGTTAAACAACAATCTATACATCTATCCAAAAACCACAAAAGCTTTATACGGGGACAATTATAAAGTTAGTAGTATAGCTTTAAACGTCTATTATCATATTAACTGGATATAAATACTCCTTATTGACAGCAGCGGTAGCTTTTTGAATAAATGGGTTGGAGCATTATGGAGTAAGATCATCTAATTACTTGGATATATTTAATGCTGCATACAATTGCTCTTCTCATTTTGAATACAAAATGGAGACTTGAGCCTCAATTTGGAAGACGACAATACCAAAGACTATGCCAAACATGGGGCCACGTCAATTGGACTATGGTGGACAGCTGCATGAAACAACTATAAATTTTTGTGGATTTCGTGAGTTCAGGTAAAACATATTTTATTATTCGACGAAGTACAAAATTTCTATAGGCTTGGGGTACGAGCTGGTAGAGAATGAGATGGCATGGAGTTAACAGTTGTTACGTTGGCAATCACACCACATTTCCAATTTTCAAATGTATTAAAATACCTAATACAGTCCCAACTTCGATGAATATTGAACGCAAACACACATGAGCCAGGCAATGCAAAAAGGTACAAAATCGAAAAATTTGCGAAATTCTAGAAAAGTGTGCACAATTATTGCTAGCAGATCGGTGATCAATAAAACACCGTTACTTTTCCTCGTACGATTAAGCTGTAAGCTATACACACCTTTCACTGCTTACACCCCTCGTTTTTTGGCTAAATTATTCCACTTTTTTATTCATTTTCCATGTATATTTTTAAGTATCTTAACTTTGCTAACTATTCATGTATACAACTGTAGCAGTGGGGATAAGGCTCTCGAATAGACTGCAGAAATCAATGCAAAGTAAAGGGGTCAACGATTCGAATCCCGTCGAAGGACGGTTGATTTATAAAATATTAAATAACATGACTTGATAAAAACACAAGATGACATAATTTTTGCACGTTTCCTTACGTTTAACTGTTGTATTCCTTTCTTTATGCACAAGTAGAGATGATGAAGATTGTTGACCTTTTGGTTTAATTCCGGCTCAGTATAGCATCGTCCCGGTTAACAAATGATTTTAGACTTGCCCAAGGTACCTAAATTCTAACAAATCTACGTTTTAACTGAAAAATTCGGGACAAAATTGACGATCTCTTATGAATGTTTACATCGATAAAAAATTTTACGGATAACATTGTTTTTTTCAAAAATATTTTAACGTGTTCTGTAAAGTTTATCAAAAACAATTTTTGTACCTTTTTGCATAGAGTAACTCATATCATGTTTGTAAACTCCCATCACCTCTCTGTATCAATAATCGTAATAATGAATATAGTAACTGTTTGCAAAACATCAGTTCCTTTTCAACAGTCACTTCTACTGAACGTTTCATAAAACACCAGACGTTTTAACTTATAGGGTGTATTACTCATTAAAGTATGGTGAGGATTACAGTAGAAACTATTCCCTTTGAAAATATTTTTTATCAGACGAATTCCCTCGACTCTTTGATTAACCATATTTCTACCTGTGTATTTTTTTAAATGTTTTTTTTTTATAAATAGCTTTAGGTAATTGGACGCTCTGAACAGCCCGTTTCGCTCACATGAGTCTATGTGCATCTTCAAAAATGGCCACCCTCCATAGACTTGAATATAATTTATAACTGAAATTCTATTTTTAGCTGATCATTTTTGTTGTTTACATTTTCTCTCTTGTCTAGTTTTTGCCAAAAATACAAAAATGGTTAAACCATCATCATCTAAGGGCAGTAACTCCTATAAGGAGTTGTCTCAAGCTTTCAGCTAGATCTATATGACTTATTTGTAGATCTGTGATTTTGGAAGTTTCTCTTTTGCTACTATGGTTTTTGCCTAATGTGCAACAAATGTGTAAAATTTTTAATTAAATGGCAAAAACTCCTACAAGGAGTTGACTGACAATTATGAACAAACTTGAAACTGGTCTTATCATATTTACTTTTTTAAGTTTCTCTATATTTATTAGTTTTTCAAGACTTTGGTAATGTGCAAAAAAAAAAGGGCATTTAAGGGCATAAACTCATTAAAGGAGTTGGCTGACGATATCTTCTTAGCTGAACTACTGGTAGATCTTGCTGGTCATGTTTGCTATTTGTAGTTTATCTATCATAATTCTCAAGATAATAGGCAAAAACGCTTACATTTTACCACCTATGATCTTTTTTTAAGCCATGTTGGTTGGCATGCTGGATCACAGAACACATTTTTAAACTAGATACCCAAAGGATGATTGCTGTTGTTTGGTTTTATTTAGGTCAGTAGTTTCAGAGCGGAAGAATTTGTAAATTTTAATGGATGACGATGGATGCCAAGTGATAGCAATAGCTTACACTGGCCCTTTGGGCAAGGTGAGCTCAAAATAAAATACAATTTATATCTATCCACAACATTTGTTGCACATTATCTACACTAATATTGCATTACCAAAACAGGTGTTAACAAGTGTGTACATTGTATTATGAACAGCCAGACACTTTTAACTTGCAAAAAAGTTAATAAAGAAAACAAAAACAAACATTTGCTTTGTACATCATTATATCATAATGAAAACATATTATATTTGAATGAAGATGTGACAATATTTTACATCTGAAAAAAGAGAAATGGATTAATACATGTACATTGTGATCACAGCCTGCTGTTAATATCACAAACGATGTTCAACATCACTTCAAGTCTAACATTTTTAAGTGCTACATTTGTTGTAAGAATAATACTATTTAAAATGTCCCAAATGGAATAGAAGAATAAATACTTTGAATCTATCTCATACTGTTGAAATAAATAGAAGTAAAAATTTGGTGTTTTGACAAAAATAAAGTTCATTTGATAGTTAAAAATTAGTCCAGGACATGACATAAACATATAGACTGAGAAAAACTTCCAGGAAACAAATCTGAAACATGTCCTTTGAGGCTAAACAGATACGTCTTCGTGAAAATTGTCCAGGACATCTAGCTTGTATTACAAACATTTTCTAAACACAAGACAAAGTTCCAAGACAAATATCGAACAGTCATCTACTACAATTATTGGCAGATAGTTTTAATGTTTAAAATACTGATCCACAGTACTGACTTGTGCTTCAAGACCATACTGATTACTTCTGGTCTAGCAATGTTCATGTACAATAAGAAGTTGACAATCTCACTGGTAAACTGGATGGCCACATTTATCCCCCATGTTTAGATCTTAAACATGGAAAAGAAATGTCGTCATCTACAGGAAAAGACTGCTGAATATAATCTAGCTCGGCTGTAATCCAAAGATCATGTAATTAAAGATAACTGATTACCAAACATGCCAATAAAAAAATAAATGATGATATTAGTGCCAAACTCCACCATTTCAAGCTGACAGCCTTCTTGCTGGTCTGCTATTCAAACTTACTTCTTCTCATGATGTATCTGTAGTGTTGACTTTCATCCACAGGTAAAGACGGGATGTGAATTAAGACATGTCCATACTGACGTGAAGGCTTGATAATACTTCTGGAGTCATCTACGGGATTAAATATTTTCTGGAAGTGAAAATACCAGTTGTAACAGAGATTAAAGTAGTATCTATAGATGTCAACCAGTAACTTTCATCTTCAGATACTACAGGCTAAAGCTGAATCAATGGAAACAATAACAGCTAACGGTAGAAACTCTCATGATACATCATGGTATTAATTGGCCCTTCAGTTACGGTGCAATGGAGATGTATTACAATTGCCAGGTAAAGGTCGCCATTGTGATGTATCACTGCTGTCTGGTAACGGTCGGGTGGTGGAATTTTACTGCTATCTACTGACGGTTGCAATTCCTTATAAGAGTGGTAACGGTAGCGATTATGATGTATGACTGCTGTTTGGAACGGTTAGGTGATAGAATATTGCTGTTTTCTACCAACGGTTGCTATCATAAGGAATTGCAAAAGACTGGTAACGGCTGCGATTGTGATGTATTTCTGTTGTCTGGAACAGTCTGGTGGTGTAATTTTACCGTTATCTATTAATGTTTGCAATTTAAGGAATTGCTTACGACTGGTAACGAAATATTGCTATTATCTACTGACGGATGCTATTATAAGGAATTGCGTAAGACTGGTAACGGTCGCGATCATGATGTATTACTGTTGTCTTGTAACATCAGGTGACGGAATATTGCTGTTATCTACTGACGGTTGCTATCATTAGAAATTGATAAAGACTGTAGACGGCCGCGATTGTGATGTATTACTGCTGTTCGGTAACGGTCAAGTCGCAAATATTACAGTTATCTACTGACGATTGCTATTATATGGAATTTCTTAAGACTGGTAACGGTCGCGATCATGATGTATTGCTGTTGTCTGGTAAAGGTCAGGTAACGGAATATTGCTGTTATCTGCTGACGGTTGCTATCAATAGAAATTGATAAAGACTGGTAACAGTCTTGATCATGACGTATTGCTGCTGTCTGGTAACGATCAATTTGTGGTATATTACGGTAATCTACTGACGGTTGCAATCATTACGCCTTCTTAATGACTGGTAACGGTAGAGATTGTGATACATTACTGCTGCTTGGTGACGGTTGAGATTGTGGAGTATTGACTGTTATCTACTGACGGTGGCAATTGTAATACATTGCTGATATCTTCCAATGGTAAAGGTTGTGAGCTATGGTTGCCTGGCAACAGCTAACAGTGGCAAATGGAATGGCTTCTTCCTATTACAGTCCAATGGATTAGAACTGTTGTTGCATGTTTGTGTTAGGCAAAGACAGAATAACTGGTTTGAAATATATGTTGTGAAAATTATGGCTTTTGCAGGTACTTGGAAAATGTAGATTGAAACTTAAACAAGTGGGTTGCAGGGACTTCTCTCAATAAGCTGGTAAAGGGTGATATAAAATTCAACTCAGACCTAATGGAATTAAATTCTACCCTTGATCGGTCGTGAATAAACCTAACACAATATATGCTGAATGATACTGTAAAAGATGATGCGACTGATGGAAATGATCACTCTGCAGTAACAACATTTGACTCAATACCTTACTGGTGAAAGCGTTTTATGGACATGTCTTATCGCCTTGGATGAGGATATTTTCTATATTGATGTTTGTTGATTTTGTGGTAAGCTAGGACTGCTGTGCTTCTTTAAGATGTTGCGTCTTTCTAAACATTTAAACTAAGTTGATGAACCAAATACCAACCATGGAAATTGAAAATGAACAACTACATCTGAATGATGGATATTACTGGTAACTGAAAGTCATGATTATTTCACCTATACTAATCCAAATAACAACAAATTGATGATAATTCTTCATAACCGTCCATATACAAATAAGGTAACAAATTTTTTACACACAAGACAAACACACACACGATTTCAACAATGTCAATGTTTTTGTTGCTGAGCATGATGAAATTACAATGTCTCTTGAACAGCACCTTCATTATTTGAAAACTTCCTTTGCAGTAAATTTTTGCATAATTTCTTAAGCTTTCTATTGAACATGCTGGCAAGACCAAGGGTGTACCTACTCTGACCTAATTCCCACATAAATGGCGGAATCCCACTCTTCCCTATAAATCCTTGGACTAACTGAGATCATTTCAAGAATTGCACTACTAGATAAGGTCCTTCAAGATGAAATAATATTAGAACTAGATTTGCAATCCAATATTGAAGAGTCCTCTGATAAAACTGCCCCCTTGTCCTTTAGGAACTGTAAACAATCATCAAGGTTGGAGAACCCTAATTCAGTCTGTACAACACTGATCGACACCGTGGGACGATATCTATATACAACAGTAGTGGTAGTGGTAGAGGTGATAAAATGAAAAAGAAAACATATATTCATTAGTTCACAATAGAATATGATGAATCAATAATCAATCATTAATAGATAAATGGTACAAATTATCTTCTTGCAGTTATATAAATGAACTACAAATAAAATCTTCTTGAAGAAGTTTTAGTCTGTCGAATTATGGGTAATCTTATTGTAAACGCCGAAATGAAAATAACAACACACAATAGATATAATTCATTAAAAGCGTAAATTATCCGTCAATGCTAAAAACCAAGTAAAATATTCAGAATAAAAAATACTGTAAATTCAGAAATTACTGCGAGGTTTTTATTAATGCGAATAATGCAACTCCTTAAGTATTGCAATAATAAGAACTCGCATTCTGATATATGATACATATAAATGTATGAAGCTTTTTCCTAAAATCACAATAATTCAACTCGCATTTCTGTTCATTCTTCAAAAATCGCAATAATAAATGCACGCTGTGATTTCTGAATTTACAGTAGTTCTTTATTTCAGAATGAACAGAATTCTGTGTTATATTCTATAAATATTGACTGGTAATTTATGCCTTTAATAAATGATATGTTATACATGTCATAATTCTCATTTAGGTGTAAACAATAAAATTACCCACAATTCTTGAGACATAAAAACCTAAAAAAGATTTTATTTGTAGTTCTTTTTACAATGTACAAAGATTCCAGTTTCACCAATTTTAATAAGTTAAATTTTTTTTTTCATTTGCCTCATCATTCCAAGATGCCTAGTGTTTGTGCCTTCTTGTAAACATTTTGAATGTATTCTAAAATTTCTGAAAAATTTACAGAATTGTGTGTTTTAAATTCATAATAAGTGCAATTGGGTTGCTTAATTAATATCTTGAAAAGATCAACAGGTAAAGGTCAAATAATTAATCATCAGATTAGTTGAATAATTAAATAAGGCAACAGGATTTTGTACGATGCAATTAAATATTTGATAGATATAGTGAAAATGAAATCTTCTTACAAATATGCATTTATAAACATGAAGGAAATGATGTGTATTTTTACTTACCAAACTTTGTTTTGTTTTTCATTTTAAATGTGCTTAGAATAATTTGAATGATGTAACTGAATGAAATTAATTCTGATGTACTGTAAAGGGTATTCCCATAAATTTGTTTCTAGGCAATTTTTATTTGTCCTCTTTTTAAAAAATAATTTGATTGGTTGTAAACAGCCATCATAAAAAATAATTTGATTGGTTGTAAACAGCCATCATAAAAAATTATTTGATTGGTTGTAAACAGTCATCATAAAAAATTATTTGATTGGTTGTAAACAGCCATCATAAAAAATAATTCTTGAACATAATTCAAATGGAATAGCAAATACTGCACATATGACCAGAGTTTGTGAGACAGTAACTGTTCAAATGCTCACACTGTCAAGTTAAAATTTTCAAGGCCCATCAAGCTGCTTTATGATTACGAAAAATCATTATCCATTCCTGTATGGAACACAGCAAGAATTTAGAATTTGTTTGCATACAAAATGTTTCACTACAGAATACCAATTATCTAAATTAACGGATTGACTCTTCTACTAATAAATGTTTGCTTTCTCAGGACTCTTTTGACTACATCAATAAAACTTTGATGAGCCTTGCTTATAGAAGCATTAGAACAGTTTTTTTAAATACTTACGATTTCCTGAAACTCAATGAAAATTAGTAAAAAACATCCTGTTTAAATACCTATTTTCTTCTATGAAGGTAAATTAAATCACATACACAGGTGACTGCATTATCAAAACTTAACTGATTCTCAGGCAATAAATCAAAATAAAGTAAAATTTCACCACCCACATCCCCTTGACAAATTCTAACTGAAAGCCCTCAATTTATTATAGAAGTCGATGAGAAAGGTAATTATCCTCCTTTTTGAGAGGCGATGATTTGGTAGAAGCTTATGAAATAAAAATCAAGTGTATAACGTAGCTAGTATTAAAATGCTTATGATTCTTTTCCCCGTTTTGAACAATTATCAATCATCCGTATCCTTTTCAATTCCCAATCCAAAGACAAAGTTAACCTATTTTGTTCATCTATGTCAATTTCTTAACAAGAATGATCAATAGCTGTAGTGATTAAAATGACAAAGACCTGGACATATTAACATTCATATGTTAATCCTTTCGAATTATGGTATAGTTGATTAGTTGATATGTTGAATAGTGGAATGTTTTCTTCATAACCTCCAAAATGTATTCAGATATTTATTTACAAATTTATGCCAAGATGGCCACAAATTTTCAATCTGATGAAAGTTTTGAACAAAACAAATCCACTTGATGTCATCAGGAATTAAGTGACCAGAACAGAATAATCTGCTCAATCTTTTTAATGTTTCCTAAATAGCTTCTCAATAAATAACTGGCTTTCTGGTTCTCAAAAATCATGTTCAATAAATGACAAATTTACCTAGTGTCAAGTTACTTTAGTGTTCAAAATTAATCATGTAAAATAATTTTTAAAGCTTTAAATAATGTGGAATTTATTTAACATGTTTAGCATGGTATCAAAATTTACTCTGGTGTTTGAGAAATATTAATCCAAAACCTTTATCATTTGTCAGAGGAAACCAGTAAAAAGTTCCCACAAATTCATATTTATAAACTACTCCTTGTTCTTGTAACTAAGCATAAGACCATTATAGAGTCCCTTGTTGAAAACTGAATTCAAGATATGATAGGCAATGATTTTTTGACTGTAATTGCAAAGTAGTATTTTAACTATATTTAGGTTAGAGTTTGACCATACAGTGACATGTTGATATATTTCAATTAATGAACATGACATTAAAACTTTCCCAATTTCAAAGAAGCTATTTACAAAACATTTATCATCAGCCACATTTCAGTTAGTTGACTTCTGTACCTCATATAGCGACCGCTGCCAGATCTTTGTCATTTTCCAACAAAATTCAAAGCTATAAACAGATATCTAGAAAATGACACAAGATGATGTTTAACAGGGCTGTTCAAGGAATGACCTAACATAGATAGGGGATTTATGTGGCCTCTTTTACAAAATTATCATGGTTGGTTAAATAATTTACTTGGAGATATCAAAATACTACACCCCAAAAAAATAACTTCATGAATGTTGGAAATCTACAAAACTCTTAAGTGTATTTTAAATCTAATATCTTAAAATATATAAAATATTTTTTACAGATATGAGTTTTTAAATGGTAATCAAATGCTCTGGGTTCATTCTGTTCATTATTTAGACAACTAAGTTTTTATCTGTTTTTTTATTATTTAATATACTAACAACCTATGCCAATTTCTGAATAGGCTCAAATCAATAGCTGCTATGACAAAATGACAAAACTCTAAACATTTTACATCTGTATATACATGTATGTATACTTCAATCCATCTGTAGTGTTGTATCAGCTGAATAGTTGTGAATAGTGGAATGTTTTCTTCATAGCCTCCAAAAATATAGATGGTTAATTTCAAAATTCATGCATATGTATATTCCACACAAGTTTTGAAGTTTTATCTAAAGAAAGCTTTAAACAAAACAAATCCACTTGATGTCATCAGGAATTAAGTGACCAGAACAGAATAATCTGCTAAAGTTTATGTTTCCTAAATAGCCTCCTGATAAATATCTAATGGCATACTAGTTCTCAAAATCATGTTTTATCATATTGAAAATTCTCTTGTTGTCAACAGTCTTAATTAACTACAAATACTAACAAACAAACAGCAATGAAATCAAACTTGTATAAATTACAAACTGTTGACAAACATTTCTTTTAGAAGGATGGTCATTTATAATATGGGACAACATTTCAAAAGGTATGCTGTGTTGTGATTGTGGCAAACAATTTGGCATGTGGATGAATCTCTATAATTCATGACTTTGAGACTTTACCAAGTTTAAAGAAGCTATATACAAAACATTCATTGTTGTGTGAATTAGTTAACGGTATCATGACTATCATATAGCGACCGCTGTCAGATTTTTGTCATTTTCTCATTAAAATCAAAGCTATTAATTGATATCCAGAAATGGCGCAGGATGTTCTTCAAAAATGCAAATTATTCAATTGTTTTTCTTTCAACTTTGAAAAAATATCTGCCATTTACTGTAAATGTAATTCTGTCATTGGCTGTAAATGTAATTAATATCAATACTATTCTTGAATCTTTCGGTATTGATGTAGTCAAAATCTATCGATACCTTTAAAACATAAATATTTCTTAGCTTTTTTAAATGTAAACATTCTAATAAGGGTAAACATACATAAAGGTCAATTAAAATATGTGATAATATCTTATACTTTACGTACGATTTGACTATGGTTTTCAGGGCTGTAAATCTAACTCGATCTGTGAACCAATCCAATAAGTAACCTGACATTTTTGGTGCAATTCTATAAAGTTTAAAAAATCTATGATAACTACATAAAGCCAACGCAGACCTGACTGCTAAGGCATGGAGGACACATTCGTCCTGTCTACACTCTGGTGTTAGACTAGCTAACACTGTTGTCATATCTAAACATATTATTAAGGAAATACAATATTGTCTGTTATAATGATATTAAGTCTTTGATAAGAACTTTTCCTGATTTTGCCTTAAAGGGAAACTTCGCAAAAAAATGAAAAATTTATATTCTGTTCATTATGTATAAAAAAGCACAAATTCATAGATATTAAAGTTTTATTCTGCAAGTTAAGAGATCACCATCGATTTTAAATTTAGAGTATCAATTCTCCGCATGCGGCCATTTTGACATCCTCCCCGAATATTGACCACGATATATCTATAAACCACAAAGGACCAAAACAAGCAGTAACCTAACGTAGCCGTAATTGAGTGTCGATATCTTGTCAAGCGTACGGTTGTTTTATCCGACAAGGAAAGCATAAACAGTTTCCCGGGTCACAAAAAAGATTATGAAAGACATGGTTGTGCAACCTTTCCTAACTAACTTGATACGGAAAATGTAATTTTATATATATTATTTTTTAAATATTTATAACTAGTACTAATAGTATGGTCCGTCGTTTTGAAACTGTTTTGTTTACGAAGTATTTAAAACAAGAAATTGAAATTAGTTAAAAAGTTAAAGTTATAAATAAGTGTTCCGTGTAAAATTGTTTTTGAAAATCTAGTTTGTTCATAATTGTTTTATGTAATAAACTTTTTAAAATAAATTCGGACCTTCCCTTATCTGATCACCAGAATGGCTAAAGGAATTGTTCCCAGAGGTATTGTGAGTTGACACGTACAGGTATTCAAGCGATTTCCTGTCGGGCTTTAAAACTGTTATTACACAATTACATAAAACAAGTTCGTGCATCACTTCTTTTCTGGGGGTATTGATCAGTGTACACGGCCGATAACATGTAACTTCCATTTTGAATCTATCAGGTGTAATATACAACTTTGTATAGCGTATCCGATAGTGATATACTACTAGTCATTGCTAAACTCATACGCTTGTTTATAAATAACATTTTTGGTGTAAAGAATGATATTTATGAAAATTTAAATAATTAAAAAAAAAAAGATTTGATGAAATAAAAATCTATTTACACATTTTCCAAGGGTAAATTGGGGAAAATGTAAGTATATACTCGTTGTCAATAATTATGGACATTTTGAAACATACAAATATTGATTTAACAAAATGTGCAGCACTTATCGATCATTGGTTTATACGCCTAGATGGAAGGTTTAATACGGAACTATGGATAGTCGCAATATAGAACTAATATCATACAAGTATATTGAATATACGAGAGAAACATCCAGAATCAATCTGATTTAAATACAGGTCGATATCTAACTTGCTTTGGTTCATCGAAGCTATAGACATAGTAAAATCACAGATTTATATTTCAATAAGATTATTTCGAACAGTTTAAGAAATTCGTCATCATCACATTTTCCTGGTCCGACATGCATGTTATATATATATGCCACTGGACGTGCACTAATGATACCCAAAAGCCTATTTGAAGAAATAAAGAAACTTCACTCCGGATAGACTGATGGTAGTTGTATTAACGTCTGGTCAGCTAGAGGGTTGATTTATTTATTTAGTTAGCTTGTAGGGGATTTAACCGCTCTTAATATTTCACTTATGCATTAGATATTAAATGACAGTACCGGTAATATAAGAGAAAATATAAATACGAAAAGTCGCATATCTGATAGAAAAGGACTCACCATGAACTATAGGATTGTACGTACGATTGTCATTCTAAATCGCATAACGGACAGTCATTTAAATGCACGCATGTACGCTGTGATAAAAAGGGGTGTCGCAGTTGCAAAGTATTCATCATAAATCTATTTCAAGGTTATTATTTCCTGTTATTTTTATAAGTTAACGCAGAGACATGTATACACTAGATCTCTATTTAACGACAAGCAACTATATAAATATCTGAATCTGATGTGACTTACCGTTCATCTCTTTCTTTTTTCTCATTTTATTTTTATTTTTGCAGGAATATACACATTGTAAGATATACTGTTCCTCGATTTGGGGGGGGGGGGGGGGGGGCATTTCCGGGTATAACAGAGCTACTTGTATATTACCTGAATGTGGTTAGGTGACGTCCCATGAGGTCTTACGTATACATGTTCATATTTATAATGGTTTCTGATATAACAATTAGGTTTTATAACATTCACATTTCTGCATGTTCTGTATACCAAATTCGTATCTTTTTTTCAGACCGAATGAGGATGTGAATATTTTCCAGGATCAAATTCATTTCGGGATTTTTTTTTATTTCTTTGTATTAAATCTCAGAAATTTACAGAATATACTGCTTGTCCGCTTTAGGAGTTTTTTTGTCAGTTTAAACAGACGTATATATGTCTCTGGTTTAGAGTGGGGTTATGAATGAATGATAAGTCTTACAAAGGTACAAGATATCAAGCACATTGAAAATTGATTTCGACGTTCTGTCTCCATTTAAAAAAGGAAAGTTGACGTTAGATTGATTCTGTTAATTTTTTTAAACATCGTTGGTCAAATAGCTTAAGAATTATATAAATACGTTGTGAGATTTATAATATTTTAATAAGGGCATTCCTGATTAGGTAAATGAAGATCGCTTTGGACGACAAAACTATATTTTTGTAACTGATAATTTTCTCTGCACATTTAAATATTCAAGGTTACCGATGATAATTTAAAATTTTGATTTATACGCTCGTTTTCGTGGGCCATTTATAATATTTATATAATTATTTTATTAAAAGTGATTCAGAATTTCGATGTTACAACAAAATACTCACCTATTTATTTAAAAACTGAGCAAATGCAAAATGTTAAAAAAATATATATATAATTGAGGTATTTTGCCACCATATTCCTCCCTTAATAATTAAAAAAAAATCTGTCTCATACCTGCAACGGTGAACCCTTGAGGACAAACACCACTCTAGTGAAGATCAAAGGATTAAAATTACATAATGCTAATCTTTTAATTACCGTGAATTTAACCACGCCTTTACCAGGTGGTGTCAGCATAATACACATGCATTGTATTTACACAGTACTAGACTGAAGCAAGGATTTGTATAGTAAGACAAATCCTCGACTGAAGTAATAGGGGAGAATACAAACGTGAATTTCTATTATACTATCAGTTATATATGTTGTTCAAAATATCCGTCGAAAAAAAATTTATAAAAAAATTCTATTGTATGATTTGCTTTTATTACTATAATCATATCAGAAATCCTTAAAATATAAATCGTAAATTTTAATTTAAAAAAATGCACGGCTGATCACTTTTCTTTCTGAATTGTTAGTTGGTTAATAGCTACACCAAAAGTCGTTGATGCGCTTTAAATCGCGTTATTAGATGATTAACGAACAAGACTTTAAATGAGATTAATCCACTCCCGGCATGCAAAAAGACTTAAACTACGTCACATAAGTCAGGAAGTTTGAAAAAATAGAATTAATAATTCCCAATTTTCTTCTTTACTAGTTTTCATATCCAGATAAAACTTGGTGAATATGTTTTTAATGGTATTATGAACATAATAAGATGATAAGTAAAAAATCGCGAATTTTCCCTTTAAAGTCAACAACTATAAAACAATTCAAACTATCTGTATTATATTTAGGTCTCTTCCCATTAAACATACATGGTGACAAGGTAAGGCACTTTAAAAATAAGGTAACCACCCATAGAGGCACATTAATAATTTTAATAAAAGTTTCACTGTACTAGACACCCACCCATATCTGATTTTTCAATCTACCTTTCCAGTGTCCAATGTTTGATTTAATGGTACGTCCCTCAGGACTATTCCAGAAAAATATCTATTGACCCTAACCCTCAACATAACTGTTGACAATTAATTCCACTTAAATTTTGAGAATTTCCCAAATTTACATTAGGAAAGCTTCTAAGTCACCAAAAAACTTGAACAGCCTCTAGTCTGAATCAAATCAATTCCGTTTGACTGCATTTCAGTAAATTGTGTAAATTGTATACAGATATGTTCAACAGTGAACCATTTTGAATGATAAAAGGATACCAAGCGTATTAGAAGTAAACAAATAATATAATATTCTGTATGCTGTAAACTCTAATCTGTTTCCCTTGGAGACATCATCATGGTATAACAACTTTAACTGTGTCTGACATTGGTTAAACTCTTCATGGTCTCCCTACAACAAATAAATAACATGTTTCAGTATTTTCAACTTCTTAAAATACTCATTTTACACTTTTTTGGTTGTATACCAAAATTATCCATTGTTTTTGTCTGATTTTGTACTTTTGCCCTAGAACAGATATACTTATCAATTCCAGCACAGAAAATATAATAATGAAATAGAATGACATGCTAAACCTTGCATTTTAAGTGTCAATTCTCTTAGCTCCAAGTATTTTCAGTCCTGAGGCTTTAAAAGAACCTGAGTAAAGGAAAAACATCATCTTTTTCTTAAATTAAACATTTTTAAAAGATTAATTGATAGTTGTTTGCTTAACGTCCAATGGCAAATATTTCATGCATGTTAAGCACGATATAAAAAAAAGAAAAGTAGGAAAATAATCCGTTTGCATTTAAGTTTTCAGTTACCTTTTCCATTGCTATTCTAGCATGTGTTTCATAGACCATCACTGTTAAATCATTTCTGATACCTTGAACCTAAAAGATAGAAAAAAACATTCCTAAGTAGAGCCAATAGGATCGTTCAACATATGTAGCTATTTAGAACATAATGCCAGAGTAAAATGCTCCAACATATATATACAGATATGAAGGATTCATATTTATAAAAAGAAGCCTACTTTAAATAAATGGGGAATGTGTCCATGGGACACAGATAATGCCCCCCTTGCATATAAATTTATAAAGGGACATAACTGAAGAACAGTCAAAGTGATGCTACCCATATGTGTACTTGATCTGAGTTTTGTGGTAATAAGTATTATGTATAAGGTTGATAACATTTGGTTGAGGCTAACTTAAGTTAGAGAACAAAAACGAAAAATTCAGCAATTTTCCATTTGTAAAGGGGCATAACTCTAGAACAGTAAAAGTGACACCAAAAAAATTCAAACTTGATCTGTATTTTGTGTTAATAAGCATTGTGTATAAGTTTCTAAACATTTGGTTAAGACTAACTTAAGTTACAGAATGGAAACCAAAAATTCAGCAATTTTCCATTTGTAAAGGGGCATAACTGTAGAACAGTTAAAGTGACACCACCAAAATTCAAACTTGATCTGTATTTTGTGGTAATAAGCATTGTGTATAAGTTTCATAACATTTGGTTGAGACAAACTAAAGTTTATAGAGAATGGAAACAAAACATTCAGCAATTATTTCATTTGTAAAGGGGCATAACTCTAGAATGGTTAAAGTGACGTCACCAAAATTCTAATTTGATCTGTGTTTTGTGGTAATAAGCATCATGTGTTAGTTTCATAACATTAGGTTGAGGCAAACTTAAGTTAGAGAACTGAAACCAACTTTGGGACGTACGTAAGTACGGACAAGAGTAAATCTTAATGCCCCCTCTGCTACGGCAGGGCATAAAAAACTGAGATGTGAAATTTAAATAACCAAGGGAAGTAACTCACAGTTAGATCCTGTCTGATGGATTTGAGCTGTTCACAGGCATAGTGGTAATCATGTTTCTCCTTCCAATCTTCCTGTACCATCTTTAAGGACTTCTTTAAAATCTGTACTGGTCTTACCTGATCTGATGTAGGAGCCTACAAAGTCAACAATCTTTTATTACATGTTTTTATTTGCTTGTATGAATTTTTTCCAATGTTTTTTTTTTTAAAGATACTGCTAGTAAATTTCAACCTGTCCTACAAAATGCATGTCAAAATACTATTTATCACAAATTTTAACCTTAGTTGCAATTGCTTATTTTCATTAAAACAAGAAATAGGTAAAAAATTATCTGTGGCAAATAGAGAAAACAAGAATATAAACAAAGGTTCTAGTTTATGAAAATTTATCTGTGATTCAATTTGTTCCTTAGTTGAAGATATGTAAACTATTTTTATTTGCACATAACCATGAACACTTACACTAGTCAAGCGTAAGTATCTTTTCTCTAAATCTTGACAAGTTCCTACAATATTAAAGTTGTGAATATCTTCTACGTCCTCATCCGATGAATTCTAAAAAATAAAACAAATGGTCCTGAAATACTCGCATGAAATCTACATTCAAAGGTTTCACATAAACAGATAGAAAATAACTATACAAACCTGTTAGTTTTCCTTTTTTTTGTACTGTTAGTAACCCCCAAAACATTTTTCTCCTATATACATGTATATATATATATATATGATATATATTTGTCTTATAATGACAAACAATTTGTAAGCAATCCTACTATAACAATTTTTCAGACCTCTCTGGTTTAACCAACCTTAAAATTTCACTGGATATCTTTGAAACTTTCCCAGGATAATTATGACGGACACAAAAGATAGCAATAGCTAACCAGGGTATGATAACTTATAATACACTTTTTTACTTGCCTTTCTTGGTGAAAATATATATCAGATGTCTAATAAGAGGTTTATGTTGCATTATTGAGTTGCTGTTTTACTGACATACCCCCTTCTGTTTATATATAGATTAATTCTCCCGCGGTGTTTAAAACACTTCAAAATTTGCTATAGGCTGTTCCAAATTCAAACACATGGGGATGGGAGGCACTAAAATTAATAAATTGTTGATGGTAGCATTTTCTCGAATTTTGCAAGGATTACTGTGGACTCATTTATTTTCATGGGTACCTATTTTCATGGATAAAGAAAACTTTCATATTTGTGGATATTTAATTTCATGGTTTTGCTGAAATCTGCATACAAGCCTATAGAAAATTTGTCATTCATTGAACATTTAATTTCGTGGTTCAAGAAATGAAATCATGAAATCCAAGAAAATTGGTATCCTACGAATAATAATGAATCAACAGTATCAGTCATTCAAAAAAATTATATATTGTGTGGTTGGAATCTAAAAAGTGCCTCCCATTCTCCCATGCATTTAAATCTAAAACCGCCCGACCTACATCTATGTCATGACTTGTTGACTTTAAACTTACTGTATAATTGTTTATAGACAGTGTTAGAGTCTGTCTTGCTTTTTTATTACTCTGTAAATGACTGCTAAATCTTGCAGCCCTTTTGTTTAATCTGGCTTCTTTTTCTGGATCATCTTCCTCTTCAAAAAATATTTGGCTGAAATAAAAGTAAAACATTGAAGGTCCTAAAAGTAACATCAATAAACTATAACAAAGTTTCATCTTGTATATTTATCATAAATTTTGTTTAAGGCTCTTGTACTGATGCTTAACTTCAAATGTATATTAAAAAAAACAATTTACAAAATCAGTTGATCTTAAGGTTGTTTCAAGATAACATACCCTTTAAATAAACCTTGCATTCTATAATCCACTTTTAATGCAGTAAACATTATGAAAACAATCTCAATTTTTAAAAAAGTATCTTCACAAGTCTTTTTTTTTCTGAACTGACATAATACAATAAATATATGAACAAGAGTTCAATGTGAACACACTTTATTTTGTAAAAAAAAAAAAAAAAAAATTGCCCCAAGCATGTTTTCTTCACAGTTCACTGATTATAATCTTGGGTACTTTCTGATTGACTACACTGCTACTTTTGCATAGATACTATTTCTGTACTAAAAATCTGTAGTACTGGAGATTTACTTTTAATATTAAGTATTATTTCTTTAGTTTAAAATTCTTGTAATATTTAGGTACCTGTATTTTACAGTACTTGATTTGTACTTGAAATTTTTGATACAGAAGTAAAACCAACAGTGATAACAATATTCCATGTTTGAAAATCATAACTTTTAAGAGATTTGAAATAGACACAATTTCAAAATGCTGAAAATGTAACGGTGTAACCAAAATTTTGTAGTACTTAAATTTCAAGTACATATCAAGTACTGTAAAATTCAGGTACCTAAATATTACAATAATTTTAAAGTAACAAAATAGTACTGAATAGTAAAAGTAGATTTCCAGTACTATAGATTTTTGGTACAGAAATAATACCTATGCAAAAGTAGCTGTGAAGACATTGGCAAATCTGTAAGAAGAGCACCAAGTTCAAAAAACGAACATTATCATAAGCCTTTGAGAACATGAATTCTTCTTATATTTTTTATCACTACACCTGGCTGCTAACTTTAAGCACACTTTGTCTTTAATCTATAAAGTGGGCTCGGCATACTCAGGGGTTCAAATTAACATTTGGTACTGGAAGGTCCAGGACCTTTGACACTCCAAACTGAAAGGTCCACAACCTAAATCCCAGGTCCTACTTTATTTGAAATTTTTCATAACTCAGTTAGATACAAAATTAATATGTTTTTGGTCTTAGGTTAGCTTGTTTAATTATATTTGAACTGCATGCAATGTTTACAAATTTATTGCCAGGCAACCATATAAATGTAGCACTAAACTGTCAGTGTCACTGTGGTATAACATGTATAATAATAAACTTGTCTTACAAGTATATTATGAACTCAAATAATATTTTTTTTTTTTGGTATTGGGGAGGGTGTCACTGTGAGTGGGTGTGTTGTCTCAATTATTGGTAATTATACCATTATCTCAGGGCTTACACTACTTCAGATCATAGGGAGAAGTGACTTCTATAAAGGGCTATATGTATCTTTTTTTATACTGTCCAAGTCATAACCGAGTATACAATTAAAGTAACAGTTCAAGTTCATAGCTGTCAGGGGCGTTTCTATGATATTTGAAAGAGGGGGCGTAGAATCAAATCTTTTTGGACCTTTTTTTGCTAAAAAACATGAAGTGCACTAATGTAACAAGATTAGCAGATTTTTACGATAGGTTTTTTTTTAAAGGGGGGGATGCGTACGCCCATTACGCCCTCACCTGGACCCGCCCCTGGCTGTGTAAGTTCATCATATGTTACACAATTATATTAGTTCCTCTCTTGTCAGAAACTACTAACTAAATATCTAGCACTAATAAAGAAAGAACTTTGTTTACATCAAAAATGAAAATAAAGCGTGAAATGCTTAATTTTTCGCTTTGGGGTCAATATTCTTCTGTCAGATGTGCCATTCATGGGTCCGTAGTCATTATCCTTAGAATCCGGATTTCATTCATAGCTGGTCCTTTCCCGAATACGACCAGTAGTTTGTACAAATATTTCAATGACGGACGAGAAAATTTACAAAATTAAACGATGTCTGAAAAGCTATTTGGAAGGGAATATGACGTATTAAATGCACTGAATGAATTACAAATTTACTTAAGGCAACTTTCATCACTTTTAATGGGTTAACAAACTTATTTTGCCGACATTTAAAATGGTTTGAAGTACGCTCTCGAGGGTTATACCATGTCAATAGTAATATGGCTTTGAAATGACGATACTGATTGTTAAAATGGTTGGCAAAGTTAATTTTTATTTTCTTTCAAATCGAAGGTCCGTCGGACGTAGCTAGTAACAAAAATGAAAGTCCGATTGCAATAGTGTTAGGTCACGGACCTCGGACCACCGCTAATTTGAACCCCTGATACTCCAGAAACAAATAAAAGGGACCTGTGGTTGGGTAAATTTGTCTGAAAGTACTTTTTTCATTTTCACACCAAAGATTGGAAAAAAAAACACCACCACCATGTACTTTTATAAAGATATCCTATGACCATAACCCATTAAATAACCATATTTAAAATTTTATTGGCAACTTAATCATTCCCAGCCCTTTCCAAGTTCAAAATAAAATCTTTAATTTTTTATTATTTCTATAAAAACAAGCATTCTGAGAGTATTGCATGACAATACATAGTCCCCTACCAGTTAAAAATTTATTGTACTGGAACAAAATGCTAACTTGATCTATAACTTGTCATGGTGTAAACTATATAACAAATATCAAATCAATATCTTCAAGTAAGACGAAAATAAACTGCTTCGCTGAGCGCAGCTGGATACGCCCGCAGAGGTCTAACCCTGAACAGTTGGGGCAAAAATGGACACAATATCCAAGCTTGATACAGGTCTGAATTTGGATTGTAATTAAATATTTGACATACATCTATTATAGGTTTCTGAATAAATGTAGTCAAAGAACTTGAAGTTGGTTATATGAATTGAATTTATATTCAATTAAAGATTTCTTGCTGTTGTGCAATACACTGTGCTGTTGCGAAATACTTAGTAAATCTGTTGTCAGACTATAAACAAATAAAATTTATAAAATTCTAAAGGGAGCTTACATCAATAGATATAAACAGTTCACCAAAGTTTCATACGAATTGCTGAAAGCATTTTTGAGTTTTTGTCTGAAAACTGGAAAATCCCCCCTTTTTTAATGAATAAACCCCATAATTCAGAAATGTAAAATCTAAAATTTATAAAATTCTAAAGGGAGCTTACATCAATAGATATCAACAATTCATCAAAGTTTCATGAGAACTGCTGAAAGCATTTTTGAGTTATTGTCCGAAAACTGGAAAATCCCCCTTTTTTTTATAAAACCCCATAACTCGGAAACGTAAAATCTAAAATTTATAAAAATCCAAAGGGAGCTCATGTCAATAGATATAAACAATTAACCAAAATTTCTTGCAAGTTGGTGAAAGCATTCTTGAGTTATTGTCAGAAAACTGGAAAATCCCCCTTTTTTTAATGAATAAAACCCCATAACTCGGAAACGTAAAATCTAAAATTTATAAAAAACGAAAGGGAGCTCACGTCAATAGATATAAACAATTCACCAAAGTTTTAAGCAATTGGTTAAAGCATTTTTGAGTTAATGTCCGACATGTTGACGACGGACGGACAGACAGACGGACGGACAGACGGACGTACAACGGTATACCATAATACGTCCCGTAAACGGGCGTATAAAAAGTGTGGAAAACTGATTATTTAAGTGAATTTTCTAAGTCCAAGGACCATAACTCTGCACAAAATCATTATACCAGAACAAAATTCTAACTTGATCTGTAACTTGTCATGATAAAACAATACACCAAATATCAAATCAATATCTTCAAGCACGAAGAAAAAAAGGGTGGAAAACTGATTTGCCGGACTGACAGATGGACAGACAGACAGACGGATTGCAATCTTAAAGTCCCCTTCGACTGCGTCAGTAGGGGACTAATTAAACACTAAAATTTCTTAGAACACTGTTCTTTGAATGAGTTAAATAAACATCACAATACACAATACATATAAGACATTCTGTTTAATTCACTCTTGCTGGTGTGGTTTAAAAGATGGAACTTAACAAATCAGACTAACTGTCATTTATGGGGCCTTTTATAGCTTGCTCTTCAGTATTGGCTTTGCTCATTGTTAAAGGCCATACAGTCACCTATAGTTGCTAACTTCTACACCATTTGGTCACTGGTGGAGAGTTGTCTTATTGGAAATCATACCACATTTTCTTATTTTTAAAAGTAACATAATGTAAATAAAGTTTAGATTAAATCACTTAAAATCACCAGCTTTCACATAGAAAATTCTACAACAAAATAAGTTTGTTAATCAGTCTATGTACTGTAAGCTTTAATGATCTTAGATAAAAGTCTTTAATATTCCTAGCAAAATTTGTCTTGAAAAAAATATTTTAAGGCTTTGGCAACATCAAACTCTTTAAATAATCTTACTTTTTTCCTTTCCTTTTAAGTTGTTTTCCTCCTCCAGTTTCAGTTGGTGATTTTTTGTTTGTATTTCCTCGGCCTTTTCCTGGTGTATCTCTTCCACCCCTACCTCTTCTGTTTCCACGACCTCTTGTGAATCGATTTTCTTTACTGGGTGTTGATTTGCTCTCTAATCTCTTTGAGATGGCTGAACTTTCACTGCAGAAAAATTAAAAATATACATCATTTGATTAAATTAGACATACCGTAGAAAGGCTTGTATAAGCCGCGGTTTTATTCTCCAAAATTGGACCTTCCAGACGGGGTGCGGACTATAGAGTACAATAAGCAAGGAATAAGAGAAAAATTTCAATTTCGCGGGCGAGGTGGTTTGTTTACGTTCCGCCATCTTTGTTATTTATATTGTAGAGGGTGCTCTTATCATTTTTCAAACTTATAATTTTAACTCATCCATATTAATTAGTTATTTCTATTCAATATCAAATTAATACTGATAAATATAATAAAATGCTTCGCTGGGGCGCAGCTTGATACGACCGCAGAGGTCGAACCCTGAACAGTTGGGGCAAGTATGGACACAACATTCAAGCTTGATACAGCTCTGAATTTGGATTGTTATTAAATATTTGACACAGCATAGGTTTCTGACACAGAAAGAATGTGGTCTAAGAACTTGAATTTTTTTAATTTACCTATTATGGTCCAATGTCCAATATCAAAATACATGGTTAGATTCAGCATATCAAAGAACCCCATATATTCAATTTTTGTTAAAATCAAACAAAGTTTAATTTTGGACCCCAACTTGGACAAACTTGAAAACTGGGCCCATAATCAAAAATCTAAACACATGTTTAGATTCAGCATATCAAAGAACCCCATGATTTCAATTTTTGCTAAAATCAAACTAAGTTTAATTTTGGACCCTTTGGACCTTAATGTAGACCAATTTAAAAAACGGGACTTCAAATTAAAAATCTAAATACACGGTTAGATTTGGAATATCAAAGAACCCCAATAATTCAATTTTTGATGAAATCAAACAAAGTTTAATTTTGGACCCTTTTGACCTCAATATGAACCAATTTGATAGCGGGGCCCACAAATAAAAAATCTAAATTCATGGTTAGATTCAGCATATCAAAGAACCCCATATATTCAATTTTTGTTGAAATCAAAAAAAGTTTAATTTTGGACCCCAATTTGGACCAACTTGAAAACTGGGCCCATAATCAAAAATCTAAACACATGTTTAGATTCAGCATATCAAAGAACCCCAAGAATTCAATTTTTGTTAAAATCAAACTAAGTTTAATTTTGGACCCTTTGGACCTCAATGAAGACCAATTTAAAAAACGGGACCCAAATTAAAAATACGGTTAGATTTGGCATATCAAAGAACCCCAATAATTCAATTTTCGATGAAATCAAACAAAGTTTAATTTTTGACCCTTTTGACCTCAATATGAACCAATTTGATAGTGGGGCCTACAAATAAAAAATCTAAATACATGGTTAGATTCAGCATATCAAAGAACCTCATATATTCAATTTTTGTTGAAATCAAACAAAGTTTAATTTTGGACCCCAATTTGGACCAACTTGAAAACTGGGCCCATAATCAAAAATCTAAATACATGTTTAGATTCAGCATATCAAAGAACCCCATATATTCAATTTTTGTTGAAATCAAACAAAGTTTAAATACTGGACCCTATCTTGGACCAACTTGAAAACTGGGCCCATAATCAAAAATCTAAACACATGTTTAGATTCAGCAAATCAAAGAACCCCAAGAATTCAATTTTTGTCAAAATCAAACTAAGTTTAATTTTGGACCCTTTGGACCTCAATGTAGACCAATTTAAAAAACAGGACCCAAAATTAAAAACCTAAATACACGGTTAGATTTGGAATATCAAAGAACCCCAATAATTCAATTTTAGATGAAATCAAACAAAGTTTAATTTTGGACCCTTTTGACCTCAATATGAACCAATTAGATAACGGGGTCCACAAATAAAAAATCTAAATACATGGTTAGATTCAGCATATCAAAGAACCCCATATATTCAATTTTTGTTGAAATCAAACAAAGTTTAATTTTGGACCCCAATTTGGACCAACTTGAAAACTGGGCCAAAAATCAAAAATCTAAATACATGTTTAGATTCAGCATATCAAAGAACCTCATATATTCAATTTTTGCTAAAATCAAACAAAGTTTAATTTTGGACCCTTTGGACATTAATGTAGACCAATTTGAAAACTGGACCCAAAATTAAAAATTTAAATACACTGTTAGATTCGGCATAACAAATAAATAAATGTGATCAAAGATTTTACAAATCTAATGCGCCATACTGTGCAATTAAAGATTACTTCTTGAAATTTTTCAATATTTGAAATTTGAAAAAAAAATAATATTTGAAGAATAATTCTTTTTAATTTCTGAAATCTGAAATGAGAAAAAATTGGCCCCCCACAATTTCTTTTTATCCCCCCCCCCCCTTTTTCCCCCAAAAAAATTCTTTCCCTCAAGATATGGTCATAATCTCAATTCAAATTTCCAATGGAGTTGGCAACCATAATTACCCATTTAAATTTACCATAGTGCTAACTTAATCTATTTTATAATAGAATTAATAAAAATATAGTGTCAAATCTTTCATATGGATTTTTTTGTAAAAAAAAAAGATCAAAACATTTGCAGATATTTTTACTGGTCTTCCTTTATAAATATGCATTTCTTTAAACATAATTTAAAAGCAGTGTAAGGGAAGTAACCAAAACGTATTTGGATTACCTCCCTTACACTGTTTTAGATTATCTTTATTGTTCATTAACCATTACTTTATACATAATTTAAAAGCAGTGTAAGGGAGATAATTTCAATGATGTATTTGATTTATCTCCCTTACACTGCTTTAAATTATGTTTTGTACTAAAGTATTTGTCCATTAACCAGGACAACCTTGTTTTTCCCCCTTTTTTGCCCCTAATTCCTAAACGGTTTGAGCCATAACCCCCCAAAGCAAATCCTAACCATCCCTTTGTGGTATGGAAACTTGTAGTATAATTTCAGAGAGATCCATACACCGTTCCACAGTTATTGTCTGGAAACTAGAAAATGCTCATTTTTGGCCCCTTTTTGGCCCCTAATTCCTTAACTGTTGGTACCATAACCCCCAAAATCAATCCCAACCTTCCTTTTGTGGTATTTAACCTTATGGTCAAATTTCAAAAAGATCCATTCACTTAAACTAAAGTTAGAGTGCGAAAACCAATATGTATTCGGACGACGACGCCGGACGACGACGACGACGACGACGACGACGACGCCAACGTCATACCAATATACGACCACAAAATTTTTTTGCGGTCGTATAAAAACTAAACCTTTCATTACAAATTTCTCATTTCTTTTCAATGCATTGGTAGAAATAAAATGGTATCTGCTTGATTGAAACGATACAAACATAGTGAAAAAGACAACCGTAAACCAGCTTAGAATTTGTAAACTACAACACGTAATCGGTTATTGTTCGTTCCGTTTTGGTGTTTCATACTGACTAATATGGTTTGTATTAGCTTAAGACCCTTCAAACATTAATGTGATAGATATATTAAAGACTGTTTTACAAAAGGATGGAACTGTTTTACTTTCAAAGTCGTATTATAGTGATATCTGTTATGTACGGATTTCGACTCTCACCGGTTAATTTCTTCTTTTACACATGCTTTTTAAACTTCCTGTTTAAACATACACAAGTTTCTAAATTGTTTTTTAAGTGAATTAAACTTATTTTAATAATCATGAAGTTACAAAAAGTTAAAATTTCGTGGGGAGAAGGGGTGCGGACTATGTACCAGTGCGAACTATACAAGCCTTTCTACGGTAAGAGAATGACCATTTTTCCTTTTTTTATATCCAATGTAAAAACAGGATACAACATGAAGAATTTGATGTCAAATGATTGGTTGTAACTATTTATATGTTTTGCTTAACCATAACAATCCTCATTTTAGATGCCTACTATTTTGTTGTTTTTTAATTTGAAAATACACATTTCAGTCATAACTTGACCTTAGGAAATTACATTCTTAAAATAAAGCTTTTGTCCTACTAAAAACTAGTACACATTTACTTTTATTCTAAAAAATCTTCAAGCAACTAGAAATTAAAATCACTACATCATGTTGCAAAAAGGAAATTTTCGATCTTTTTTTATTATTTTTATTTTGAGTCTCACCTGCTGTCACGTCTTCTACGCCTGTTTAAACGTCTGTCATCTCTTCGTCGTGGTGACTTTGATCTGGATCGTGACCTAGACCGTGATCTCGAACTTGGATAACTATATTTAGAATAACTGGAGCGTGAACTAGAACTGTCACTTGAATATGACCTTGACCTATATGTAGGTACTCTATCTTTTGAATATAAGCTTTTACCACCTGCCTGGAAGTTGCTTGATTTTCTAACCCCCCTCCCTCTTCCCCTTTTATTTTCCCATGGGCTCCCCCTTTTATTTTCCCAAGACCCTTTCCTTTGAAACATGTCACTGTACTTGGGAGGTGATGATGAGTCTTTTTTACCTCTGAAATGAAAAGAAAAAAGTGACTTCTTTACTAATTTGTCATTATTTAAAGAGTTATTTCATTTCATGCCTACCTATGGCAGATCATGATATCTACACTATATATTGTCCATTATAGTTTGCATTTGTGTTTTTGCTTTAGTGAACAAATTGGTTGTCAACGACTGGTGCAGATCGCTTTGTTGTCAGACTTGTCCCATTATTTTTTGACAATTCCCACACATTTTTTTTAAATATTATCAAACCTAACCTAACAAACACCTTTGTTTTCTTTAAATTTTTATATATTTGCCTCCTTATCAAGGGAATTAGATAATTTCCCCCCCCAGACATCAAAATGCTATAATGTGATGATGGCAGTTGTATAAAGTATTTCAAAGTATTTTATTTTAAACAATTATGTTTGGTTTAAAATAACTAAATTTGTTGATGTTAGTTTATGAACATTAAACTGTGTTGTATTAGTGAGACTTACAAAGGAAGTGGTTCTCTACTCCAGTCTGTGGACCAAGCTTTACCAGTACTAAAGACATCAGTTAACAGTTCCTTCAGGACCGTCTCCATCTTATCCTTCTCATCTGTATCTGAAACACTGGAGAAGGCTCTCTGAACATAATCCCTGTAAAACATACAGATCTCCAAATTAATAAACCATGTCAAATTCATTGATATACTACTTCATTTATTATTGTCATCTTTTTTTTGCTATGGAATGGCTGATCTTAGAATGTGGATTCAGCTTGTGACTCATTTGAAAATGGTGAGTCCAGGACTCATTGAACAATCTTAGTGGAAACCCTGAGAATGTATTGGTTAGTGCAATAAGGTATGATAACTGCAATATAATAATCATGATAGAGTTCTTCAAACAAACCCAGACTTCTTTCAATATTTTTAAGTACAACTCTCTTGATCTATAGTGTGTCAAAAAATAGGACCCACATTCAAATAAAATCTATTTTACACCATGTACATGTATTTACCTTAAACTTGGTGGCCATTCTCCTTGTGCTGCTACTGCTGCTTTCTCACTATTGATTGGCTGTTTAGATCTGCAAATTAAAACATTAAAATTACTCTTTATCATATCATATCATATCAAAAGAATTTCAGAAAATAAACATCAACATTTTTGCAACCCACACCCATGACAATAATGAAGCTTTGTCCATAATTGACATTGCAAAACAATCACTCATGCTGCTACACAAAACATAGGTCAATCAATTACAGACAACAGAAGTTTGCAACAAAATTAAACTGTAGTCATGTAATGATGAGCTATCAGGAATTAAAGTTCAGGGTAATAATTGTTCTTCCATTTTTTCTTTCTGATTATCAGATTAAGATTTCATGTGATGTTATAATTGTAAGGTACATGTATGCTCCACCCATTTTGGATTGTTTTACTAAGAGCTAAGCATACAGTCAGAAGTTGCATCCTAGATTACTACAAATGTAGTCTGAATTCTTTATAAAACAGAACATTGGAAATTCAATCTTAATTAATCTAAGACAGCAATTTCGATAAAGCTAAAAATTAAAGTATGTACACACTTGTATGAGTATAGAAATATTGATTCTATTATATGGACCAATTTTCATTGATTTCATAATGAATCATAAAAAACAAAATTAAATGTTCAATGAACTATAATTTTCTATAGGCTTGCATACCAACTTTCGTTAAACCACAGAATCAAATATCCATGAAAATACGGTCAAGAAAATAAATGAATCCACAGTATATAAATAGATATTACCTAGAATCAAAAACATCATCAGCCTCGTCTCTTCTGGTACTAATCTCTCCAGAGTCCTGTCGATATGAACCAGGCCCTCCCATTCCTCCTCTTGATTGAGACCGGTCATTTTGTTGCTGTGACGGGGACTTGCCACGTTTATTTTGCCAATCAAAGTTTGGTCTTGGTCCCCTTGGGGACTGATATCTTTGGTTCATATTTTGGGCTCCTCTTCCTCTGTTTTTCTTTGGTAAACTAAATCTTATTCCACCTGGTCCTAGAGGTTCTGTAATGAATTGTAATTTTATTAATATACTTGAAAATCTCTCTAGCTTTACTTATTGTGTGTTGATTAATAAATACTTTACATTTTGTCTGCATTTTATTTCTGAAATTCACATGCATCATGTAAGTGTAATCAGTGATTTCAATGCAACAATAAAAGATCCTTTGTGAGCAAGCTTACAATACAAATGTGCATTTCCATTCTTATATGGAAAATATTCTCTTATAAATGCTATTGCATATTACTTCCCTGTAGCCTAATGATTTTTTTTACTTTGAAATAAAAGGAAAATGGAATTTCAGAACAACACATTATCAGATAGTTTGGAGTATCTTCCCCACAAATCAAAAATAGTTCCTAGTTAACTGTCAAATTTTAAATCAAAAGAATCTGTCAAGGCCCTACCTAATGACAATCCCTGTTAAAAAGATGATTAAACAAGAACATGATCCCCACTGCATGCATTTTGAATAAACAGCTGCGCCATGAGCGCATGATACGCCCGTCGTCTTGTGTGTGAATTTTTATGCAATAAGCATAAATAGTTTCTGACATACGGCGTGACATGCGAAAAACCCCCTTTTTTTTTTACAAAAAACTCAATATCTCTAAAATAAAATTTTTAATCAAAATCAAAAAGTATACAGATCTTTATAACTAAGAAGTGTGTAAAATTTTAAGCAATAATCGTAAATCGTTTTTGAGATACGGCGCGACATGTGAAAAACCCCTCCCCCTTTTTTTTTACAAAATACTCAATAACTCAAAAATAAAATTTTGAATCATCACCAAAAAGTATACAGATCTTAAGGTTAATATAACTAAGAAGTGTGTAAAGTTTTAAGCAATAATCATAAACTGTTTTTGAGATACGGCGCAACATGTGAAAAACCCCTCCCCCTTTTTTAACAAAATACTCAATATCTCTAAAATAAAATTTTGAATCATCACCAAAAAGTATACAGATCTTAAGATTAATATAACTAAGAAGTGTGTAAAGTTTTAAGCAATAATCATAAATTGTTTTTGAGATACGGCGCGACATGTGAAAATAAAATGCTTCGCTGGGCGCAGCTTGATACGACCGCAGAGGTCGAACCCTGAACAGTTGGGGCAAGTATGGACACAACATTCAAGCTTGATACAGCTCTGAATTTGGATTGTGATTAAATATTTGACACAGCATAGGTTTCTGACACAGAAAGAATGTGGTCTAAGAACTTCAATTTTTTTAATTTACCTATTATGGTCCAATGTCCAAAATCAAAATACATGGTTAGATTCAGCATATCAAAGAACCCCATATATTCAATTTTTGTTGAAATCAAACAAAGTTTAATTTTGGACCCCAACTTGGACAAACTTGAAAACTGGTCCCATAATCAAAAATTTAAACACATGTTTAGATTCAGCATATCAAAGTACCTGAAGAATTCAATTTTTGTTAAAATCAAACTAAGTTTAATTTTGGACCCTTTGGACCTTAATGTAGACAAATTTAAAAAACGGGACCCAAAATTAAAAATCTAAAAACACGGTTAGATTTGGCATATCAAAGAACCCCAATAATTCAATTTTTGATGAAATCAAACAAAGTTTAATTTTGGACCCTTTTGACCTCAATATGAACCAATTTGATAGCGGGCACACAAATAAAAAATCTAAATACATGGTAAGATTCAGCATATCAAAGAACCCCATATATTCAATTTTTGTTGAAATCAAACAAAGTTTAATTTTGGACCCCAATTTGGACCAACTTGAAAACTGGGCCAAACATCTAAAATCTAAATACATGTTTAGATTCAGCATATCAAAGAACCCCATATATTCAATTTTTGTTGAAATCAAACAAAGTTTAATTTTGGACCCCAACTTGGACCAACTTGAAAACTGGTCCCATAATCAAAAATCTAAACACATGTTTAGATTCAGCATATCAAAGAACCCCAAAAATTTAATTTTTATTAAAATCAAACTAAGTTTAATTTTGGACCCTTTGGACCTTAATGTAGACCAATTTAAAAAACAGGACCCAAAATTAAAAATCTAAATACACGGTTAGATTTGGCATATCAAAGAAACCCAATAATTCAATTTTTGATGAAATCAAACAAAGTTTAGTTGTGGACCCTTTTGACCTCAATATGAACCAATTTGATAGCGGGCCCACAAATAAAAAATCTAAATACATGGTAAGATTCAGCATATCAAAAAACCCCATATATTCATTTTTTGTTGAAATCAAACAAAGTTTAATTTTGGACCCCAATTTGGACCAACTTGAAAACTGGGCCAAAAATCTAAAATCTAAATACATGTTTAGATTCAGCATATCAAAGAACCCCATATATTCAATTTTTGTTGAAATCAAACAAAGTTTAATTTTGGACCCCAACTTGGACCAACTTGAAAACTGGGCCCATAATCAAAAATCTAAACACATGTTTAGATTCAGCATATCAAAGAACCCTAAGAATTCAATTTTTGTTAAAATCAAACTAAGTTTAATTTTGGACCCTTTGGACCTTAATGTAGACCAATTTAAAAAAACGGGACCCAAAATTAAAAATCTAAATACACGGTTAGATTCGGCATATCAAAGAACCCCAATAATTCAATTTTTGATGAAATCAAACAAAGTTAAATTTTGGACCCTTTGGACCTCAATGTGGACCAATTTAAAAACGGGGCCCAAAATCCAAAAACTTAATACACGGTTAGATTCAGCATATTAAAGAACCCCAAGAATTCAAGAATAAAACCTTATTGAAATTGATCAAGAAATAAGCAATTTATACGAAGTATCTTCTTTTGCACAATACTGTGCAATTGAATATTTCTTGCTATTGCGCAATACTGTACAATTGACAATTTCTTGCTATTGCGCAATATTGTGCTATTGGATATTTCTTGCTATTGCGCAATACTGTTAAATTGAAGATTTCTTACTATTGCGCAATACTGTGCAATTGAAGATTTCTTGCTATTGTGCAATACTGTGCAATTGAAAATTTCTTGCTATTGCACAATACTTATTATATAATAATTTACACATCCTGTTTGGTGTGTATCTCCTACCATATCATTATTATTTGCTTTTAAATATAAATCAGAAATAACCAACTTAAAATGGAAAATTTTAAAAGAAAAAAAAAAGGAATAAAAAGAAAAAAAAAAAAAAAAAAAATCCCCCCCCCCCCCCAATTTTTTGAACCCCCTTATGATTCATCACCCCCAAACTCAATCCCAGCCTTCCCTTTGTGGTATGGTACCTTGCAGTACAATTTCAGAGAGATCCATACACTTGAACACAAGTTATTGTCTGGAAACTAGAAAAATGCTTATTTTTGGCCCCTTTTTGGCCCCCAATTCCTAAACGTTTCTGGCAATTACCCCCAAACTCAATTCCAGCTTTCCCTTTGTGATATGGAACCTTGTAGTACAATTTCAGAAATATCCAAACACTTACACACAAGTTATTGTCATGAAACTAGAAAAATGCTTGTTTTTTGCCCCTTTTTTGGCCCCTAATTCCTAAAATTTTGAGGCAATTACCCCCAAAATCAATTACAGCCTTCCCTTTGTGATATGGAACCTTGTGGTACAATGTCAGAGAGATCCATACACTTACACACAAGTTATTGTCTGAAAGTTACAAAAATGCTTATTTTTGGCCCCTTTTTGGCCCCTAATTCCTTAACTGTTGGTACCATAACCCCCAAAATCAATCCCAACCTTCCTTTCGTGGTATTGAACCTTATGGTGAAATTTCATGGAGATCCATTCACTTAAACTAAAGTTAGAGTGCGAAAACCAATGTGTCTTCGGACGACGACGACAACGACGACGACGCCAACGTCATACCAATATACGACCAAAAAATTTTTAATTTTTGCGGTCGTATAAAAACCACACACCTGTTTTAGTTACAAAGTCCCGTAACTCAAAAAGTTTTAATCTTATTTTCACCAAAAAGTATACAGATTGTTTGACTATTATAAGAAACAACTATGTTAAGTTTCATGAAATTTGGATAAGTCATTCTCAAGTTACGGTGCGACATGTTTACGCCGGACAGACAGACGGATTGACAGACAGACGCCGGACATTTGTATACCATAATACGTCCCGTCAAAAATTGAGAAAAAAAAGCTGTAGTTAACATGGTTAAATAGAATGTATATAATATTTTAACATCAAAACAATTATCTTTAGACATAAAATCATGCTGGCCTAAAACTTGATAATAAACATACGCCTTGGTCTATTTTGGAAGCGTGGTCCTTGCATCTGTTGTCCCCTAGGATTGTTAATTGGATGATTATTTTGTGAATCACCAGGTCTCTGGTTGGGAGTATATTCACCAAAGGATTCTTCATTAGTACCATTTTTGACTGGACTGTCATTTTCTTCTGGTGGTGGAGGTGGAGGCTGACTGAAGTTTGTAAACTGAAACAACAAACATGGCTTTTAAAGGGTCTTATAAAATACAATATACTTCTATCAGAGAAAAATTATTGACACAAGAGAAAATATTTGGGATTGCTTTAATTAAGTAGGTTTTTCTTGTTTGATGAAAGACCAGAATTCAAACCGTCTGATTAGATCTGGATGCTTCCAATTGGAATTATCAGTTCAAGACTTGAATCTAGGATTATTGTACTCAGCTCCTGTACCAGAGAATATGTATCAGAAACACTGAAAATGTCATGAAATGTTGCAATATAGAAAACAAATCCCTACAACTAGGTTTAGGTTGTCATATCATTTTACAACCACTGTGTGAAAATAAAATAATAAATTATAAACTTACTGATGGTCCATTCATTCTAGCAGGACCACCCATTCCCATTGGTCCTTGTGGTCCACCTATTCCCATCGGTCTTGGTGCTCCACCCATTCCCATGTTTGGGTTTGGTGGCATATACCTGAAACAAAATCACAGTATAATTCTAGATCTATTCCATGAATGATCTACACAACAATCATTGCTCCAACATATATTGACAAAAAAGTTCAGCATCACTTTGAATTGAAATATTGTTAAGAAATGGGTTCTTATAGACAAAACCATAACAACTGCAATGATGCCATTTGCTTGATGTTTCCATTTTATAAATTAAAAGTTTTCTAGGTTTAATTAAATAAAATTGTGTCCCACTGAAATATCTTCATTCCAACAACACTGGGATTGCACTTTAGCATTTCCCATTCAAGTCACAATCAATTCAGCAGGCTAACCACTATGGAGGTTAAAACTTCTAGCTTGTCCGCCTTCAAACCCTTTGGAGTTGACTTGCTGTTCTTTAAGATTAACTTGCCAGCACAATATGGGGAATGTGTCCATGGGACACAAATAATGCCCCTGTTTGCATATAAAGTTATAAATGGCATAACTCAAGAACAGAACAAGTGACGCTACCCAAAATTTGAAATTAAAGTTTGATCTGAGTTTTGTGGTAATAAGCATTGTGTATAAGTTTCATAACATTTGGTTGAGGCAAACTTGTTAGAAAACGGAAATGAAAAATTCAGATATTTTTCCATTTGTAAAGGGCATAACTCTAGAAAGATAAAAGTAACGCCACTCACTTTCAAAGTTGATCTGTGTTTCCTGCATTGTGTATAAGTATCATAACATTTGGTTGAGGGAAACTAAAGTTAGAGAATGGAAACCAATTTCGGGACGTACAGGCGGACAAGGGTAAAACTTAATGCCCCACTGCTACGACGGGGGCATAAAAACATGGTTTTTGTTGCGTCCAATGCAGATTTTTGATTCCTGATTAACCTTTGTCCATATCACTCAGAGTGAAGACATGCAAGCTGATCAGAACTTGTTTTTAATATTTTTGCAAGATAAAAGCTTAGTGAACAAAGGTTAAAGTCCAGTGCATACATTGTATATTTTATTTTGATACTTACTGTGTATAATACATATATTGTTGATAATACATATCAGCTGGCGATGGTTGTTGAACTTGATTTGGATTACTTTGCACTGGTTTTGTTGGACTTTTTGTTATTGACTGTACTTTTTCTAATGCTTGTCTTGCTTTTTCCCATTCTGGATTCATAAAACTAGATGCAGGTTGACCCCTAAAAGTAAAGTGACCATGTGACATTTTACACTACAGCTAAGCTAAATAATATTTATTCTCATTTACAGATCATTAAGAATTTGGATTGACTGATTGTACCTGGTACCCTGTTATCATTTTAAGGAATCGTTGCTTTAGAGGTGATAGTACTGCAGATTTTCATTTTCTTACTTCTAATTGTATGACATTTTGTCATTATGATTTTCCAAGTAAATTACAATCTCAATAAAATTTAAATTTTTTTACATACTACCAAGACAATCAACAGGTTACTCATGTGTTACTTGGACAAGACTTCGTTCTAAACCCTCTTCAGATATGTCTATGTTTAATCCATCTGCAGAAGGGGTTCAACAGAAGTTTTTCATTGTGTAACTGATCTCTTCTTTAAAAAAAAACAAGATTAGCATTCCAATGCCCACCTCTGCAGCAAATATTTTGTTTCAAAAATTTTCCAATTAGTTTATTTTACCAGAAAAATTTGACATCACAAAGCAAATCGTCTTTTCACATTGTTTTCTAACACATTTTGGTCAAAATGACTCCAGGTCAACCAGGGCAATTCATTTATGGTATCGGGTTCATCTGCCCTAATTACATAATCGCCCTGGGTTGTTTGTTCGATTTGGGTTCGTTCACCCTTCTTTTAAAAAAAAATATCAATACTAATGGTGTTAAGATTTTTAAACTTATTCAGGTGTTAATACGATAAATATTTAAGAAAATATACCTCTCTCAAATTCATGAAAAAAAAATAGTGTCTTGTTATGAAGCATTAATTGGCTTCATTGTTACATTTTTTAAAATTTTTATTTAGAATTACTTTTTATGATTGTTGATCAATTGTAATTTACTTGGAATGCTGATAATGTATAATTAAGATGTCTTTGATCTCACTGATTGTGGTATCAATAGACGTATTTACACTTGTATGCAAATTTGTCCGCCATTACGTAAAATCACACAGGTTCCTGTAAACTTTGACATCATAATTCAAAACATTTGACGTCACAATTAAAAAGCGATTGTTGCCCGACGTCAAAAGGTGATTCGGAGTAGATCTAAGGTCATTCGGAGGCAAAATATAGCTAAATACCAAAGTGTAAATACGTTTATTGTACAATGTACTTGGTGGATAAATAATGAAAATAACAAATTTTTAAAATAAACTAGCCAGCTTGGAATAGATATTATGTATGAATTGTAAGACATACAAGGGATAACTTGTTAGATTCATTTGTTTTATATGTTATACCTTGTATTCCTGTCATACACTCTACAGTGGAAATGAAAGGAAAATGATTATCTGATAGCAGCAATACAGCATAAATATTCATCTCTATTCAAATTATATCTATACATTATGATTATAACAAGACAAAAAATAAATAAAATCACTGCGAACAGACCCAGATCAAACAGGTATATGGGAGAATGGACTCAGGGCGGACAGGTATTTGGTCAAACGGACACAGATTTTTCATTTATAAAATGAGAATGTAAATTTATGAAAATAGTTAATTGCTAAGTTTACACATTTTTAAGGCCAATAATTTATAACCTGATGATACTTTGATAATGGTGACTTTCGGGAAAATGTTGCCTTTTATGTGGTCCATAACAGAACTACATTCCTGAAAATTTATCCAGGATTATTTTTTTTTATCGCTGTAAATTGACACCCGATCTGTTGAACAGTTATTCAACAAATATTGAACCAAACAAATATGAAATAATATACAAATGCCTACACAGTTTAATTTTTCAAATCTTGTGTAAATTCGTATCTATTGATTGAAGTAAAGAAGCCATTTGACAAAGAAAGTTCTCTTTAGTGCCTAGTGGCCATTTTGATTTTCACTATCTCATCGACCATCATGATCACTTCAATTCATTACTCATACATTTCATCAATATATACAACTGTCAGTAGAAAAACTTTACCATGTTGGAGGTTGGCTGCTATTGGTAAATGTTGCCATTAAGGCTTTGTGTTAACAGGCTGAAAATCTTGACTTTCTTGCACAATATGAATTGTCGTCAATCTCCCTCTTTCTATAGCAATAACGGAAATGCACGAGTGTCGTCGGAAGAATATTCGTTTCGTCCCGTATGTTTCCGGAAATTAATCGACAAATTGCTTTTCATCGAGAAGCTATGTAACTGCTCAAATTTGGAATTAACTACCTCAAAATTTGAGAGATGAACACAGTTTTGATCTTTACTCAAAACTTATTGTCATCTTGAATATCTGTTCATTCCTGGAAGTATTATATATTGATTTCACTTCCATGGTTCATGCAATGCTTTAACTGCTGAAGATACGGTACTGTATGCCGCTGGGACTAATCATGTCATGAAGATATATTGGTCCACGGATTTGTATAGTGTCTATACAAATCCTTGATTGGTCGTAGACATGTGTAAGTGCTTTTCTGTTTTATATACAGTATGTGCTTTTAACTGTTTTACTGTAGTTTTGATAAAAATGTGCATAATACTTGAAATAAAAATAAATAAAATAAACTGTTCTGCACCTTCAGTATACGATGACGGATCAGTCGAAGATGAGAAACATTTCCTGCTATATTGTAAAGCTTACGATGATTTTAGAAACTTGCTTTGAATCAGTGAACATTGACAGGAATTCTAATACTAGTAGAACATTTTTTTTTACTTGAATGACACTTCATATAAAAGACAAAAAGCCAAATATTTAAATCAAGGATTTGTATAGTAACTTACTGTACAAATCCTTGTTTTACTAATTTTTCTGCAAAAGGAAGGAACTTCTATACAAGTAACAATTTCACATTTTCTTATTGAAAATATGAACAATAAGTTTAAAGCGACGCATATAGGTCAAACGGGTCGGGTATAATATCATTTATGCGCTACATAAAAAATATAGTATGTACAATGGTCACTATACATACTATAATGACTGAGTGATTTTCTTACTAATACTAAACCTTTGCCATGTCATTTGTATGACAATTTTACATAATATGTCTGTTTGTTTAGCTCACACATTGTTGTCACTATAATGGAAATCTGTGCGACTGTCATACAAGTGAGAGGTTTAGCTAGCTATCAAACCAGGTTTAATCCACCATTTTCTACAAAAGTAAATTACTGTACCAAGTCAGGAATATGACAGTGCTTTTCCATTCGTTTGATGTGATTGAGCTTTTGATTTTGTCATTTGATATATAAGTGATATTTGTCATTTGATAATTGAGTGGGAATTATCTGCAAAATATTGTGTTCCTGGAGAAAATGATATTCCAATCCAGTTGAAAAATATGACACCTAATTATATCTGGACTGACTGTTCAGCAATAAAATTTCAAGAAACACTTTCTTCAGATACACTACAAAACTACATACTAGAATTCAACAACAGCACAATTCAATTTACTCAGACATCAGTAGATGAAGCATCATCAAAACTTTCAAACATCTTTTTATCAGCAGCAAATCTATCACTTAAACGACCTTTAAAAAAACACACAAACAAACAAAAAAACAAAAAGTGGTTTGACGCAAGTTTACAACAAGCTCGAACTAACTTGCTTAATTATGGAAAAATTTATTCAAGATTTCCATATGATCCAATTATCAAAAATCACTTTTATAAACTGAATCGTGAATACTCCAAACTAAGGAAATATAAATACAAACAATACAAACAATCATTGATTAGTCAGCTGGACTCCTTGCACGATGAGAATCCAAAACTGTATTGGAACTTAATTAATGAACTACAGGAAAAAAATGAAACACAAAAAAAATGTGGAGTACAACCATCAACTTTGATATCACATTTCCAAAAGTTGTCACAACTGAAAGGTGAATTTCAAAGTAGATATACAGAGCTATGTGAAAAACTGAAACAGTTAGAAAACTCAAAATGTTTCAACGAGTTGGACTCCGTTATCACTGAGTCTGAAATATCCAAAGCCATTTCACACTTAAAATGCAATAAATCATCAGGCTTGGATAACATTAGTAATAATATGATAAAGAATGGACAGACTTTCCTTTTAAAAAGTTTTCAACAGATGTTTAATACTTGTCTGTCTTCAGGTATATACCCAACATCTTGGGCTGAAGGTTATATTACACCAATTTTTAAAAGCAATGATACAAGTGACCCTAACAATTATAGAGGAATAACAATAACAAGTGCAATTGGAAAGCTTTTTAATAGAATATTAAGTCTAAGACTGGACAAATTTCTTCAGGAACATAATATTATACATGATAGTCAAATTGGATTCACAAGGAAAGCCAGAACTGCAGATCATATGTTTATTTTAAACTGTCTTATTAACAAATACTGTAATTCAAAAGAAGGTAGACTGTTTGCCTGTTTTGTTGATTTTCAGAAGGCTTTTGATACTGTTATACATACAGGGATCAAGATTAAACTACTAGATATTGGGGCTGGGTCTTATTTTTATAACATTATTAAAAGTATGTATGAAATTAGCAAATCATGTGTCAAAATTCAAAATCAAGTAAGTGATTTTTTCCCATTAGATATTGGAGTCAAACAAGGTGACAACCTCAGTCCGAATTTATTCAAGATATTCATAAATGATTTGCCCAGATATTTGTCAGATACTAGAGACCCAGTTAATGTCAATGACAAAGATCTACATTGTTTAATGTATGCTGATGATATTGTTTTATTATCTACATCAGCTGAAGGACTACGAGAAAAGCTGGGAATGCTTGATAAATTTTGCAAAGATTGGTGTCTCAATGTGAATACTAATAAGACAAAGGTGCTGATTTTCAACAAGGCAGGCAGACATGTAAAACAGATATTCACATTTCAGAATATAAATCTGGAATGTGTTTCAAAATACAAATACCTAGGTTTATATTTAAGCTCATCTGGTTCATTCAGTTATGCTCAAAATGAACTATACAAAAAATCCCTGAAAGCTCATTTCAAATTAAGGAAAGATCTTTTATCACTTAATCCTGATGTAAAAACAAGTATTCATGTTTTTGACCACACTGTAAAACCTATTTTATTATATGGTAGCGAAATATGGGGGATGTTTAATTCTCTTTCCTCTAAATGTAAGAAGGAAGATATATCTTTTGAAAAATTATATTCAGGTTTACCCTGTGAGAAACTTCATATAAAATTTTGTAAATTTATACTTGGGGTACACAAGAAAACAACAAATGCTGCAGTGTTATCTGAACTTGGAAGATTTCCAATATATTTTAATATTATAAAAGGAATGTTATTGTACTGGTATAGATTAGAGAATTTAGGTAATAATTTTCCTCTATTAAAAGAGGCATATACACAATCAAAGACACTACATCACATGAATATAACATCATGGTATGGTTCAATAAATGTTGTTTTTAAAATACTTGGTATTGACTATACAAATGCCATAAATGCTCCATTTTGTGAATCCTTATACAAATTTAAGAAATATATACAAACCAAGCTATCAATATTGTTTATTAGCTGTTGGAAAAAACAAATAGATAAATTTTCAGACAGTAAACTGAAAACCTACCTTTTATATAAAACAAATTTTGGTTTTGAAAAATATCTAACATTGATCAAGAATTTTGAACTTAGAAGAAGTTTTACTAAATTACGTGTATCTTCTCATAGATTACAAATAGAATTAGGTAGATATCAGGGTATTCCCCGAATTAACAGAATATGTAATAAATGTTCTTCCAATACTGTCGAAGATGAGGCTCATTTTCTATTTGATTGTAACAAATTTGAGGATGATAGAAATTGTATGTTAGCTAGTATTGCACAATATAATTCTTATTTTAATCATATGAGCAGTCAAAGCAAAATTATCTGGTTATTTAGTGTAGAAAATGTTGAGTTACTTAAAATAATATGTAATTTTATATACAAACATCTTCCTTAGTGAAGATTAGTTAAAGGAAATCTATGTGTGTATATACATTTGATTGGACATAGAAAATTATATTCATCTGAATATCACAAACATACTAGCCGATTAAAAAAAAAAAAATAATTGTTAAGATATATTATTTATTCAAATGTTCTCTTATATCCTTGAGGCATCGTCCCCTGGTATCAACTGCATTCAAGTTACCTATGATGCTTCCTTGTTTGCTTTTGATACAGGTAGGAAAGAGACATTTACACACATTTTACATGCCTATGGCCCATAAGGTATCGCCCCCTGGTGTCAGCTGCCTTTAGGAAACCATAATACTTTCCTATTTGCTGCTGACACAGGATGAGTCATGGACATGTTTAATTTCTACTTTCTTTTTGGCTAATTATTATATATTTAATTGATCCAACTTTTTGTGTACTATACATATGTGGATATCTATTTTTCTTTTTTTCTTTTTGGGCTGCTTGTTTGTTATCTATATCAACCACACTTGCAATAAAATGCATTAGTATTAAAAAAAAAAACATACTATAGATTCTTTATCTACGTATTCTTTAAGAACTTAAATAGTTCACGTTTAACTTTTTTTTTTTATCTCATTGTTTGTATTGTATTATGAAAAATTATTGATGTTGTAATGTTTATGCCCTTTGGGGCCCATAATTGGAAATAAAATATCTTATCTTATCTTATCTTATAAGGGGTTTCCGTTTTGAATTTTCCTTGGAGTTCGGTATTTTTGTTATTTTACTTTTTTGTATACTATGTCACAGTCCAGTCTTTTGTTATGTCGTGCTTTGCCATTCTGTGCTTTGCCATTCTGTGCTTTGCCATTCTGTGCTTTGCCCATGTATGATAGGTATAAACAAATAATTAGATCAAGTAAGTTTTATTTAAAGTCAGCAAGATTAGCAAGATCAATAGCAATACAACATCAGCTCGCATTGAACTTTTGAAATGACATAAAATATTCAAGCCAACTATCAATTATATATTATAGCCACAAGGGCTCTATATTGGAAATAGATGATACATTTTGATTTACACGGGGATTTTATATGTTTTGTTGGGAATTTGATGTAACACTAACCGTTATAATAGAAGTCATACACAGCACATAAAAAACACGAAAATCAATTTAAA